TGTGCTGGGGGCGGGAGCGGGGCCACAAGTGCTTCAGATGAATCACAGCAGATTTCCCAATCTCACTGTGCTGGAAAAGCCGTCCCTGGCAGACGCAGGCACTGGGTGGGATGTGGCCTCATCCCCAGCCGTGCTCCCAAGCCCAAGCCTCTCTGCCCAGCCGCATCACCCTCCTGTAGGTGCATCCCTGATGGTGGGCAAAAGGAGGAGCTGTGCTCTTCCATGCAGCCTGCTAGCAGCACAGCAGTGCCAAGAACGCTGCTTAGGAATGTCTAAACAAATTTTTCCCTGTTTATGCATTTCCCAATTGGAAAATACTGCTTTGTCATACTAAGGTTGGCGGAATTCTTCATAGAATCCTGGAATGGTTTATTAGCATAGTAGTATTACTGTTTTGATCTTATTATCATAATTATTGTTATAGATAGAATAATAGAATTCTAGAATGGTTTATTGCCGTATTATTATAATTGTGGCTGTTTTCATATTAGCATTATTAAAATCATTATTATAGACAGAATAATGGAATCCCAGCCTGGTTTGGGTTAGAAGGGAGCTTAAGGCTCCTCCAGTTCCAGCCCCCTGCCACAGGCAGGGACACCTTCCCCTAGAGCAGCTTGCTGCAAGCCCCGTCCAACCTGGCCTTGAGCACTGCCAGGGATGGGAGATTTTAATGGGAGATTTCCTCCTGTCCAGGATTTAACCCCAGGGAGCTGGGAGATGAAATCAGGATCACTGTGCTGCCCATCACCATGCCACCCCGTGTCCAAAATCTCTCCATCATACCATGCAACCCTCCATGCTGCTCCCCCGGTACTTGGAGGAGTGTTGATCCTCAGTTAGGTAAATCCAAGATATTGAAGGAGTGTTTAATGGATTTTTCCTTTGTTTTCCCAGCCAGGTCTTTCAGTTGCTGGCTGTTTTTCCCAGTAGCAGTGATGTGTGCAGGGCTTGAGCAGAGGAGCCTCATGGTTACCTACTGATTACTGCTATAGAAATGAAAAGGAAAAACTCCTGGCTTCTGATAAATCACAACTACATTCTAGCTGCAGCTAAACACTTAAATTGGTAATTAATATCCATCCTTTAGGGTGGGGAAATAGTTGTTTTCCATCCTTTCATGGGCTTTTCTGGGAGAAATAAACTACTGTAGTTTGGAAAGCAGAGGTTTAAATCTGTTTATTTCATACTAAGCATGTTGTAATTCTGCTTATGAGACAGCAAGTCAGCTCTCTGCGTGTGCATGTTGTCCAGGAGGAAATAAAACCAACAGGGACTTACGGCAGTTCCCTCGGGATGTGCTTGCGTGGGACCAGGCTCCTCCTGGGCTGCCAGTAGGAAAGCGTTGCTGGTGAGGTCTTTAAGTCTTTACTTACTGGAGCATACGTTACCTGAATCCCCGTTCTCCAGTGGTTTTGAGAGCAGATTCCCAGCGCCGGGTGCTGCGTTAAGCCTGTGCTGATCAGCTGGAGCTGGGAAGCCGAAGGCCAGCGAGGCGGGACGCTGCCGTCACTCCCAGCGCTCCCATCGGAGGACTGCGTGTTCCTGGGGTTACGCAAGAACGGGCAGCGGGTGCCCCCAGCCCCTCGCTGCCGCCGTGGGCACCGATCCCCCGTCTCCCGTCACAGCCTCTGCGTCCCCACGGGAAACGGGAACCCTTGGGAAAGCAGAAGTGTGGCTCGAATGAGGATTAAGCTATTTTTAGCAGCTGCCTTGTGCCCTGTCCGGGCTCCAGCTGGGATGTTTAATTCTATCTGGGACGACTCCTGCAGTTGCACCAGGATTGATACAAGGATTTCCTTTTAGACCTTGAATCTGTTGTATTTTTGGCTTAGTTGATAATGTGTTTTTTACAAAACCCCCTTTTTCCCCCCCCACATCTACAACAGCTGGAAAATCCAGCAGTAAAATAATACAAACATTGCTGTATAATAAAAGAAGTTGCAGAACTTTTTTACTATCATTATTATTCATTTTACTGTGTAGTTTGGAAACGTAGTCATGGATCAGGAATGTGTTTTACCCTGGGCTGCACAAACAGCACGGAAAGAAAATTGCATCTATTGAGTAAAATCACGTAGTGATACCCATTATAGCTAAACAGCATCAGGACAAGACATTAAAGACAACTCTGAGCACCTCATCATTTACCCAGCCCGTATTTAAATACCTGCTGCTCGTATGTTTAACCTTTGAGAATGTGTTTGTAAAGGGAACTTCAAGGAAGACCAGCAGTTAGGAAAACACCATGAAACACACTTGGAGAGAGATCAATGGATTCCTCCGTCCCTCTGCACTCCCCACACCGGGTAATGTTTGGCCTTTGCAAATATCCAGCCCCACGTGAGATGGGCCGGGCACTGGGTAGGGGAAGGAGCCTGGGCATGGGGATGGTACCTGTGTGGGCGTGAGCTCCCTGTGAAGTTGTCCTTGCCGTGCTCTCTAAGGGCAAGGTGATCCAGCCGCACTGGGACAGGGAAGATGCTCTCCATTGGAAAACCCAGGCTCCGCAGAAAAGTGCCATTCTCCCCTCTGAAAACAGCAGTCAGCCCAAGGGCATGCTCTGTGCTATGTGTAGAAGGGCAGGGTGTATTTTACTCCACACTCCACCTGTCCCCCCGTGTATTTCAGTGACTCATGAAGCTCTGAAGGGCTATTTCCGTGCTCCCACTGCAATCCCAGCACCTCCGGCTGCGCTGTCAGCACACCTCAGCTGCACACAGCACCCCCGCCGGCTCTATTCTTAGCAGCTAATAGCTGAAATAATTACTTTTGTCTCAGCGCTGTTGATTCCTTAGATTTGGAACTGAGCAAAACCTGCAGCTCTGGGAGCCCGGCTGCCCCATTCCTTCTTCCACCACCGGGAAGCGTTTCGGGCACCACACGGACCAGGAATGCTGCGAGACCGTGGGCAGAGCTGTGTTGGAGGATGCTAAATACCGTGAACCCAGCTTCTACACAGGGCATTAGCTCTGCTTTGAAGCAGCTTCGATGTTAATGTGGTGCCACCTCTTTGAAAACGATCTTGGCTTTTCCAGCTGGGATTTTCTTAGACTTCACAGGGTAAATTCCAGGAAGCCAGGTTTTCAAAGGGAGGGGAAGGCTTTCACCTGCAGCTTCCACTCCAGCACCTGCTTAGTTGTGTGGGCTTGCTTTGCACAAAGAATGCAGACATGACTACCCGATGCCAGCACATCCCCAACAGGTCCCAGGAAGGAACCCACACCTCCAGCTTTGCCACCTTTTGATCTCAACCCCAGATGTTCCATCCAATTCACAGAATCCCAGACTGGTTTGGGTTGGAAGGGAGCTTAAAGCTCATCCAGTTCCAACCCTGGCAGATGGGCTTGTTTCTGCTGGTATTCCTTGAATGGAGCTGGCTGGGAATTCTGTGATAGATTTCTGTTGGAAACCATCATTTTGCTGAGGTCATGTTTTGTGAGGGAGCTCTGACAACTTTCACATTTAGAAAAAGAGTTATCCCACATCAGCAGTTGGAAAACATTCTATTTTGCATTTTAAAGCCACTGTCAGGACTATTGGTTGGTAAACTGAAAAACACTGTGCTAAGGGACATTAACTTCTACATTCCCCTGTCCACCTCTGCCCCATTCTTTGCTCCTTCCATGCATCAGAGAAATAATGTCCCAAGCCATCACTTACGTGGCTGCTGAGGTCGAGGGATTATAGATTTACAGCTGTATGGGCTTGCTAAATTGGGCAGGAATTTGTTTGGCATAGTCGAGGCCTTTGCATTATTTGATCTCAGCCTTTTAGTTAAACAGGAACATGCCCTGATTTTAACAATCGCAGTTTCCTGCAGTCGGAGGAAGGAGTGGCCGATGGCATTTAAACCGAAAGCTGAGCCAAGGCTGCACCAGCAGGAAGCTGGAAGTGCAGGCAGCAGCACCAGGGTTTCCTTCGTCATTAAAAGGATCAAGGACCTTCCTCAGAGATTATTCTATCACCCACAATACCAATAATTACGTACATGAGGGTCAGACTGCTGCAACGCCAGGCTACGTTTTACTGCTATTAAGGTCACTGTAGCAGAAAACAGCATGGACAAGCACACATTTCTTCTGCTCCCTGATGCAGTGCTCCCTGATCCTTCCATGATGCTCACAGAAACTGTCAATTGACAGCAGATGTGGTAGCAACGGCTCAGGGTTCAATCACAGAATTATGGAACGGTTTGGGCTGGAAGGGACCTTAAAGCTCATCCAATTCCAATTCCACCCTCCTGCTATGGGCAGGGACCCCTTCCACTGGAGCAGCTTGCTCCAAGCCCCTGTGTCCAACCTGGCCTTGAGCACTGCCAGGGATGGGGCAGCCACAGCTTCTCTGGGCACCCTGTGCCAGCGCCTCAGCACCCTCACAGGGAAGAGCTTCTGCCTAAGAGCTCATCTCAGCCTCCCCTCGGGCAGGTTAAAGCCATGCCCCTTGGCCTGTCCCTACAGGCCCCTGTCATGACATCTTGTTATGCTGTCCAGCACTATCCACACTTTTTCTTTCAATTAGCACGGCAAGCACTGTTTCAGTCAGTGACTAAGTTACTCCTCACTCTGGACTGGCTACTTTCACTGGTGAGAGTGATCTTCCCTGTCCCTGGCCACAGCCAGAGATTATTTCCAGTTACCAAGCTTGCTTCCTAGCCTGGGACTTAGAAAACCAAAGTTGTGCCTCCTGCTTTTAGGAGTTGTTTGACCCCAATCAAACAACACAAACCAGTAACAAAACATGAGCATGGGCTCCATTTCAAACAGAAAACCAGCCCAGATTTTTACCACAGAATCCCAGCTCACAGAAAATGCCAAATCCTGACCAACAGTGTGAGAAGATGCCTTTATTTTTGGGGTCCTCATTCAGTCTTGAGTGCTGAAGCTTCCCAGTGTGCCAAGCTTTCCCAGTTACGCACTCAAGCAGTTCCCCATCGCAGTGCAGCTTTGAGACTTCTTGTGAGCCCGAGTGCCATCATAAAGTAAATACTTACACGCAGGTAAAGGTCGAAATGTTCCATGGCTGGTGATCTGCAAATGCAAGTACACCATAGAATAAATGCTGCCTTACTCCTGAAAGCAATGAAAATGACATAACATGAAATAAATCAAAGCTCCATTTTACTTTCTTAAGATTGACAAAATCATTGTGAGTTAAAAGCACCAGTCAGCTGTCCCATTTCTGAGCCTCCGAGCCTTTGATCTTGCTTCAGTGCTCTACACAATCACACTCAGAGCTTCACGGTGTCTCGTGGGTCCAGTGAGATGGCCTCTGCCTGGCCTGCACCGCACTGGCACGTTGTAAATCATCCGGATGACAATGAGGAAAACAGGGAACGGGGGAAATCCGCACTGCTCCTGCATGTTGGAGCTTCTGAGAGAACTCCGGGGTAACTGAAACCAGCACAGGCAGCTGAACATCACAGAAAACACTGCCCTACTTTAGTGAGTATCGCTGCTGGATGACTCATTTAAGTAGCCGTAGAGCTCTTACAGTTTTACGTTCGTTAACTGAAGTAGTTAATGCAGCTTCGGCCACAGAGCGTACGTGTAAGGCTTGAAGTCCCGTGGGTTTGATTGCATAAGAAACCTCGTACTGTGGCATTTAGTTGATCAAGCACTACTTCTTGTGGTCACATGGACGTCTGATTTCCCCTTGCATCAGCTACAACAGATCTTTTCCATCTTTTGAACCGGTGCCTACCTGTTCAATTCACAAGGGTCATCCCCTCCATCCCACACAGGGAGCCTGTGCTGCTTGCCCAGGTCCTGAGCTCACAGGATCTTTTTGATTGTAGAATCCTATGTGAAAAAGCAGGAGCTTGCAATTCTTCTCATTTGTGTCTGGGTATAACAGGTGTCATTTTCAGTGTAGTACAGACAAATCCCAAAATAGTTCCAGCTCTTCAGATGCTGCAAAGAGAAAAAATAGTGGTTACTTCAGCTTTGGTTGTAGTGAAAAACCCAGAGCTCACAGCCAGCTCTGAAGTCCAGAGTTAAAATGGCAGATGTAGTAGTGATCTGTCCCTTGATTCTGTTTTTCAAATGGGCTGCTGGCTCCCTCACTCGCTCTTTTGTATATCCAGACCGACGCACGAACTCCCTCAGACGGTGCTGGCTCTCCATTAGCTTCCCTTTGATTCCTGATGCTGTAGCTACCACTGATCCTCCTCCACATTTCCCGGTTTTGAGGCTACAAGACAGCAGAGCTCTGCTTCCCCTGCCTGGTGCTGTGGCTGACTGGAGGCACCGGAGTTAATCTGGGGGATGGTCTTGGGGCGCAGAGGCAAGGAGAGAGTGTGCTGGGTGAAGCCTGCTGTGAATACAAACTGCCTGTGGACTTCGACAGAGATTATTGGATTCTGGTACTCCAGGAACACAGTTATTAGTTCCCCTGCCTACACTGAGCATTTTGAATCTGTGTGTGCGATAACACTTATTAATACTGTTCAGATTAAAAGGAGCCTATAGCTTTTTAGCACTTTGACTACCTTATCTTACAGAATCCTTCTGCCCAGCTGCAGAACCACATTCAGCTCAATGTCCTGCACCCAGCATAGCAGGGTCTTGTGGGTCCAGCAGCAGCCTCCTGCTTTTATGCCTGAAAGACCTGTGTTCATTCACAGGAGCAGCTCCTTTTCAGTTGCCTTGTGCTTCAGGGTACATGCCTGCTGAGGATTTGCAAGACGCAGGCCTAAAATCCTTTCTTTTAGGAAGTCCAGTATCAGTTCCTGTCACCGAAACAGTTAATCAAAAAGCACCAACTCTCTCCTGGAACGTGTGTGTGCGAGCGCGCGTGTGTGTGTTTTTGTTTTTTAGAGCCAAGAAGATTTGCTTTGGTTTTTTTTAAAGCAGAAACCACCACAAAGTTGGCTGTGGTTTCAGCTGCGCTCGTTCGAGATTTGTACTTGCTGACTACCAATCCTAAAAGAGTTAACCTAGTAAGGATGACTCAGAAGCAGAGAAGGAGATGCGAGGCTCCGAGCCTCGCAGGAAGCAGAGAAACAGAGGTGAGGAACATAATAATTACCAAAAAAAGGTGCAGAGTCCAGGAGCGACGCTCCCCTCGGTTTGCCTGGCCCTGGCACCGCTGGCACGGGCTCCCTGGAAAGCTGCAGTTCCGCTCTTATAACACAGGGAGCAGGCTGGAGAATTTAGAGCTGCGTCACAGAGCTCAGCGAGAGAGTGAGAGAGCAAGCTCCGTCGATAGGTCTTACCAGCAACAGCCCTGCTGCAGCAAGAGGGGAGAGAAGCAGCAAGAGAGGCAGAGAGGGCTCCAAAAAGAGAAGTAACGCTAACACCAGGGACTGTTCTCCTGCCACCATCCAGTGTCCTTTAAAGATCGCATTCGGGCTCGCTTGGCGTAGGAGGCTTCGCCCATTGACGATGCTGGAGACCCGGCGCGCTTAATCCCATGGGGAGGGAGAGTGGGCAGACACCAAAAGGGTTAACGGAAAGGAAATTTCTGGAACCTTCTATTCTGCGGCGCTACACAGCGAGCGGAGGGCTGAGGACTGCGCAGATGGTGCACGGGCAGAGCTCTTCGGTCCGGTTCGTCTTTCTCACGTACGTACCCTTTGATCAGGATGGGGCTTGAGCTGCATCTACGTATTTAAATTATTTGCAGGGCGTCCCTTTCCCCCGGCGCCCCCGAGTTCAGCTCCCAGAGTGCCTTTCTTATTATTTTGGCTGGGTATGATTGCTCTGTTCTGCGTCAGAGCTGTTTTCTCAATGGAACGACGGCACAGGTTGTACTAATGTCACTCTTGCCGGCATTGCTGTACTGCAGAGGAGGGTAGTAGTGGTGGGGGAGAGATGACAACTTTGCAAAGACTGCTGTTTTCATGTTTTGCTTGGGTTTTTTATCTCTCCCCCCCCACCCCCCCACCCTCCCCCCCCCGGCAGCTCTGTAAAGGCTGGCACGTTGGCAGGGCTTTGGCGGAGGGGTTAACAGGCGCTCTGCGTTTCAGAGCTCGGAGGTTTGTCACTGCGTAGTTTGCAAAGTGGTAAACGGTGACGCAGTGATCATTGCAGGGCATGTCGTCCAGTTTTTAAAAGCACTGGGGAACAGGTAGACGGTGCCTTCCAGACGCTTCCACACCAGCTGAAAGGGGTTAAAGATGAGTCGAGACGGGAAGCTAGCGTTTAGGGATTAAATGTCATCATTTTGGCGTTGGAAAGTTGTTTACCTTGCTCTCTCCGTGTCTCCATGTTGGCAGCCTTCCAGCTCACATGTGATAGTCTTCCCTGTACTGCTGCATCATTAACTAAGTGGCAGAGCTGGCTCCCCATTGGCCGGGGAGGGCTCTCAGCCCAAAGGCGCCGTCCGATTGGTGGAGGAGGTGATGGCAGGTGAAAAGCTCTCTCTGATTGGTCGAGAACTGGGTGTCAAATCTCAACGTTGATTTCACTTGCTTCAAAGTGCCGGCAGCTCCCTGCCCGCTCCTGCTGGGATCCTGGGTGTCCCACAGGCAGGGGCAGCAGGCAGGACAGCAGCAGTTACCTCCTCGGTGCAGTGGGTGCTGGTCCTTGCTCCCACGGGTGTCTCTTTCGTGGGTGCCGGTGAGGTTTCATTTTGCTGTGCAGTTCCGATGATGACGTGTCAGAGCTCCAAACCACGGGGAAGGGGAAAGTCCTGGGGTTTGGGGCTTTTCTCTGTGCTTGCTTTCTTCCTTCTCCCTTTTAAGGTGGTTTAGTGTGAGCAGGACTGTAAACTGCTCAGGGCAGGGACTGCACCTGGAAATTATGTCGTGGGAAAAAGCAAAGCGAAGAAGACTCTTGCCCAAACTCAGCTTTTGTTTGCCCAAGTGCGAGTTTGCCACAGGCTCGGTAACATCAGGAAGGGCTGAAGACAGTCTTGAGTGATGGGTCTGTAAAGGTTTGCCAAAGAAATAATAAGGTTAGAAAGCAGGAACTGAAGGATCGGGAAGGACTGGGTAAGGATGGATGGGAGATGTGGGCAGAGAATGGCTCCAGAGAGAGGATAAGGAAATGAAGGGGAGAACATTCTTCTCTCTTAACCGTTTACTATACTATTTTTTCACCTCTCTTCTTAAAGTGACCAGCAATGAAGATGGCAACTCTGCCTGGAAGTGCTGAGGACACAACCAGCTTTGAGCTTGGTCCTTCTGGCCGAGGAAGCCTCCTGATTATGCAGTGGAGTGGTAACTTTGCTTTCTCATGCGGCAGGGAACGTTTTTCCATAGCCTTTCATCATACTGAGGCTTAAACAAGTTTAAAGATAGGGTAGCATAAGCATTTAATCTGTATTACTCACTCGCTGACCTCTCAAGTGTCAGGTCCGGTTGTTTAGCAACAACTGCTGGGTTCAGAACCAGCTCAAACATGCTGCATCCGCCGTCTCCATTACTTCAGTGTAGCCTGTCCTGTGAGTGAGAGGGAGAGAGAGAGAAGGGCTGTATTTACACACATACACCCACCCTGACCAAATTTTGGTTACAAAAGCCATAAAGGCCGTAGGCGCTGCGGTTTTATCCTCGGCTCCGCTCTTTTGCGCAGTGCCATAGACGGGAGGACGCCATTCCCAACAGCAATGCGGAGCTAGGAGCAGGGAGGGAAGGAGAAAACAGACAGTAGGTGCCACTCCCTACTTTTTCCCCCCCTCATTCCCATCTCCACCTTTCTTGCCTCTCCCTTTTTGTGCCAGATTCCATAGGGAATTTCAGACTCTTACTGCAGTCGTCACAACCCCTCCTGACTCACTGAGCCTTCACTGGCTTTAGCTGGCTCCCTTGGAGCATCCTTGCCTCCTGCAGCGCCAGTTCCGCAGAGCAGGGGAACAACAGGAATAGCAGCAACAACGGTGGTCCCTGCAGCAAGACAGACAGGCATAAAAACACACAAAGATAGGAACAGGGCAGTCATAGAGGTAAATCTGTACAGCCAGGAGATAGACTAAGAAACAGTGATCTGTGGCATAGAAGATGGGTGGGTGGTACAGACAACCCTTTGCATAGTTCCCCATCACACCTGTGGGGGGAAGGACCGAGTTAATTTGCAAAGCTGTTGTCTCTTCCAACCTGGCATTCTATGACATTTCCCAGTCCTTCGAACCGAGGTGAAACTGGCAGTCAGTGCACTTGTTTGGGCATATACGTACTTCTTGAGTATCTGTGTGCAGTGTTGGGATGCATTTGGTTTGATTTCTTTTACTACCATCTTTCTGCCACAGTGCTAGTTTAATTGCGTCTAACTGCAGGGAGGGTAAGGAGACAGAGATAAAAGAGGAGTTATTTCAATGTTAAACTTCAGCTGTAAATCTCATTACTCAGGAATTGAGGTTACTGTCAGCAGGTAAATCTGTGGGACTGGCAAGAAACAAGGCTAAGAAGGGGACGGACATGGCATATTTCTGTAGGACAGTAGCGATTTTGTGCATGGGGATGGTGGTGGTGTTGTACGTGGCTAACTGTTCCATAATGGCTTTCTGCGTATTGATGCAAAAGCACTTGGGCAAGCTGTGATTTCTTCCTCCCTCTGACACTTGTGTGTGTGTGACATTGTGTAAGCTGATTCATTTCTTCTAGAGTTTGGTTTCCTTCCTTTGCAAAGTGGGGTTTATTCTACCTCTCTGCCTTAGTGCGGCATAATGACGCAGTGTTTAACGCGCTGGGGCTGTTGGCAAAATACGTGCAATTTTCGTGGGCATTTTGATTGTTGAAGGACTGCAAAATTTGGTAAAGGAAGTTACGGATTGCAAATGCTCATGACATAAATTTAAAAGCATTACCATCTTCTTCTTCGCTGCTATCGAGGGAAGGCTCTCTGAATGACGCGACAGCCATGATCTCCTGCTGCACTTGTTTTGCCGATGGTCATGTTACATCTGTGACGCAGCCCGATTTTGCTGTTGGCTCCTGTCTGTGCTTTATGGAGTTGAGCTGAGGAAGGCACAAGCTTGAATACGGTTAGAAACATTCATTTAATGTGGATGGTAAAGTTCACAACCATACCTGAAGTGGCAGGGATATTGGCATCCTCCTATCTCCCCACCCGCAGATGGTGAAGGGATCTGGATGAACACAACAGCACCTCTGGCCATTTTGTTGCTCGCAGGGTAGGCTCTGAGCCTGCAGCGCTGCTGCTGCTGCTGCTGTTAATTTCCATGTTACACAAATACTGCGTCGGGCTCTGTGTCAGGAGCTTTACTGATGCTGTGAGAAGCTTCGAGTCTACAAGTAAATGTTTTGCTTGTCTTATTTGGGAATATTCATTAAAATATCCAAATGCCAAGTGTTCTACCCTCACTCCTCTTACAATTTACTTCCAGACGTAGCCAGAAAATTCACTGCTGCTGCGTATTTTTAATAAAACAGTGTTTTCTTACTGTTTAATATGGGTGTGGCTGGAGGGGAAAGACAAGATTTCAGTCGGTTAAGTATCTGTATCGCTGATGCTAATGGACAGATGTAGGCAAAAGCTATGAGTTGCCCATATTCTCTATATATCCATATATAGATAATCCCAAGGCTACGTTGTGAAGATGCCTGTGTAATGGAACAAGAAGGGAGGACTCTCTTCTGTTCCACTCACCCCAAAGTTTTGGTGCAGAGCAGTAGAAAAAGCCAACATAAGAATGTCACAAAATGGTTTCAGCAGCATTCAGAAATGCCAGTGCCGTTTATACTGGCACAGCTCCGAGAGAGGTACCATGAGCTGCCTGCTGCAAGGTCATTCCCTGGACTCACTGTCACCAACCAGTTAGTTCAGGAACTCTCAATCCACATTTCTTGCAACTGTGGCAGTGCTTGAGTCCTGAACCTGGAGGTGAGGCTTGAAAATTAATGTTACTGCAGTTGTGAGCCACTGGGTCCAAAACTGTAGATCCCCAACACTCCTGCGTCTCTGAGGTGTTTTAAAATCGCTATGTATAATTTGTTTCTTGTGCTAACTACAAACACTTTGCACCAGTTCCCTCACCTGCTTTTCCCCCAAGACTTCCTTTGGACTGCTGGGAATCAGCAGTGGTGGTGTAGTTAAGGACTAGGCATCAACTTCCGCCATGTTCCAGAAAAAATAAGTGTCTGCCTGTATTTGGAGTTCTGTTCCTGCACTTGTTACCAGGTGGACTCGGCCAGCGGCTCCAAGTTCACCAGTGGCTCTTAAGCTGGTATCATCTCTCGTGTGCTTGCAGTTCCAAGTACCTCAGCTCAACAGCAGCCTTGTTCCCTCCTAGGTTTCCACGCTTTTCTCTGGTGTTCCTGTTTGTCCCTGTCACTAGTTTTTGCAGTTGCCTCGGGGCAACATCAGCCGTGGATATGTTTGGGCTGGCTGTCGTCTTCTCACCTTCACAGGCAGCAGCAGAGTGGTTAATGCCTCAAGGATCTTGAGCAAAATAAGTTATTTTTTCCCCATCCTGCCCTGACCACGTTTAAAGTCAGCCTTAGCTTTCAGTAGCATTATTCTCTACTTTTCAAAGGGAAAGAACCTGGCTGCTAATCCTGATGCCAGTGACGACTCTTCGCCTACAGGGAGGCATATGTGAGAGCTTGTCTGCTAAAAACTGAGCCAACACAGTGTGATTCAGACCTTAAGCTTTCCAAGGAAGAGAGCTATTTCTGAGTTAAGCACATCTCTTCAGCTCCCCACACAAACACTCTTTATCCAGTGCAAATGGTGCATAGTAGGTGTCCAACAGCAGCCACTGGTATTTGGATATACAGCTCAAATGCTTCTTAAACATTGATGATGGCTCTCAAACATACAGCAAAGTTTCAGTGACAGGATGATGGAAATCCTGGGAACAGGTACAAACCAGCAGCTCACGTGCTCAGGGAAGTCAGCCATAAGTTCGGCCCCTGGTTTTCTCCAGCTTTTTTGCCAGGTCCTTATACTGCAGATAGTGTGAAGCTATGGCAGGGTAGTGAAGGCATGCTTTCGAACATACAGATTAAAGGCAAGGTTATACTTCAGTGAATGTGTGGCACAGAAACTGTGCTTTTCACTGGCACAGGACATTCTTTTGTCTCTTGAACGACACAAAGAAAACCACAGCTTCCCTTGACATTACCTAAAGTCGCTTTTGGGGAACACTACGTTCCTGAGCTGATCATACAAATCACAACAATAATCTCCCTGGGCCTGCTTTTAAGACCTGTATTGACTGATACTTTATATTCTAAGGTGATGCTTAGGTACAGAAGTTAAGAACAGAAAATTGCTTTCCTGGTTTCAGCTACTTTGGTGGATGTTTTTAGTGCAGTTCTGGAATGTGCTGTTCAGTCACGCTGTGCTTGGCTAAATTAGATGAGCTCTCATTGCTGCACCTTCCTGATGCTCTTCCATGACCTAGGTCATGAAAATGCCATGCTTTTCTTCTCCTCTGTAGGTTTGCCCAGTTTCACCTTACTGTTCCTTGTGAAATCTGAAATCCTTCAGAGGGTTCAGTGCTTCTGTAGTTCCTGTGCCCTCCAAATAGGCTGTGGTTTTGCTTAGGAACTCTCAGAGTTTAACCCCAGCTGGCAACTAATGCCACTTGCTCGGTTCCCCCCCTGCTCCCCGTGTAGGATGGGAAGGAGAATCAAAAGAAGTAAAACCCGTAAGCTGAGGTAAGAGCAGTTAAATAATTGAAATAAAGTAAAAAAAAAAAAAAAAAATATATATATATATTAAAATGGTAACAAAAGAGAGAGGAGTAAGACCCCCCAAAACCAAGTGATGCACAGTGCAATTGCACACCGATGCCCATCCCATCCGGAATCAGCAGCTCCCAACCTACTCCCTCTAGTTTCTATACTGAGCATGAGGTTACATGGTATGGAATATCCCTGTGGCTAGTCGAGGTCAGCCATCCTGGCTGTGCTCCCTCCCAGCTTCTCGTGCCCCTCCTCGTTGGCAGAGCATGGGAAACTGGAAAGTCCTTGACTTAGGGTAAGCACTACTTAGCAACAACTACAACATCAGAGCGTTATCAATGTTATTCTCAGACTAAAGACAAACCACAGCACTGTACCAGCTGCTAGGGAGAAAATTAACTCTATGCCAGCTGAAACCAGGATAAACGCAAAAGTGGAAGAAAACTGGATGACTTTAGGCAGACCAATTCAAATCAGCAGATGGGAATCACAAGATTAGAAACTGTAGCCCTAATACCCAACACTCCTAGAATTGTCACCATGCTAAAATCACTCCCTTCAGATCAGAATAGAATCACAGACTGGTTTGGGTTGGAAGGGACCATAAAGCTTATCTAGTTCCAAGCCCCTGCCACAGGCAGGGACGCCTTCCTCTGGACCAAGTTGCTCAAACCACCCACTGTGCCTAGGTCAGTGCTGGCATTCAAGTGTCTTGCCCTCAGAATGGCATGTTCTATATCCAAACCACCAATACCCGTGTGCTGACTGCCAGCTTGTTGCTCAGCATTGTGCAGGAGAATCCTGGCTGGCACCAAACCCATTCTGGGAACAAGCACTGTCAAAACTGACTCAAAGCAGCAAGAGTTAACCACACACTGGCGTGCCTTCAGGGAGGCCATCATGCAAAGAGAAAAGGCTGAGATGCACCTCTAAGACCTCATCACAAGCCCGATTTCAGCCATTGCAAGTGGTACCTATCACCTGTGCAGCCCTAAATGGGCTGGAAAAGCTGCTTCATTAAATAAAGAAGCAAACAAAACCCCTCACCCCCAAACCCCGGAACATTTGGACTGTTTAAAAAAGGAAGGGTTAGACTGACAGGCAGCTCGCTGACAGCTCAGCACAGTTAGACAAACGCTCTGACAGATTACCCTTAATAGGAATCCAAATTAGTGACTTGAATATCAAGCTGGCCTGAGTGTCCCATCACTCAAACAGAGCTAAATGGGACAATAAGCTCCACAGGCTCTTATCCACAGTATGCCACAGCCCAGCATCCAGTCTGCCTTTGGGTTTGGGGGCAGATGGCACAGGGGTTGCAGACCCAGCATACCTGGCTTTTAACTTTACCGTTTATACTGCAATTGTAAAGCTACGATAGTAGGACTAAAGGAATAGGCTACGTTCAGCTCTGGAGTTTGTATTCTGGTCCTACTCAAAGAAAAAAAATCCATTATGCTTCAAACTCCCAAGAGAACTACATGCTTTTGCTGCCCATAATAATAGCAGCATCCCTAGAGCCATCTTCTAGTCACAAGCATCAGCTTCACCAAGCAATGCAGCATCCACTCTACCTTCACTCAGCCTGGGTCAGTGCTACTGCTGACACAGAAATCATTACACCCTCCTTACTAGCTCAGACTGCATGTTAGGGCACATTTGTCCATACCTGACCCACGCAACACCACACAGTAACAGAACTGCACAACAAACAGATGCAGTTACATGCTCCCCTGGGCTGAGGAAGCTTTTTTTGAAACCTTAGAAGTTCACTCATTTCAATTCACCTTACAGGTCACCACTTGCACTGTCACACCCCTCTGTCCTGCACCTGGCCTTGCTCTGACTCATTCCTTGACTGAGGATGATGCATCAAGCTCCAATTCTCTGTATGTACAACGGGAACGCTTTCTGTAGGGGAGACCAGAGCGTGATGAACCATGAGTTTCACTCCATGGTTTGCACACAGGGCTATAGAGAGATCCGTTTTGCTGTAGGTTGTAAAAAATCAGCTCTGTGACATCAGGCTTGCCTTGCTCCTGCAGACTAGATTAAATGTCTTGGGCTAGGGAGGAAGATCCCTTTATGGGGGAGGCCGGGATTTCTTCCCTTTCTGCCTTTGTCTCGTGTAGAATGTATAAAGCAGTGTGGAGTCCATGAAAGGCTTTGAGATGTTCCTCTGAAAGAAGCTACAGAACAGTACTGCTACTAAAATGTGTTTCAAAAAGGAGCAAGAAAACAGAATCATAATATTGTACTTTTCCTACTGTTATGTATTGAAAACTCCAGAACCCACTGACAAAGCCAGCTATAGCTGATAGTACTTGCTTGTCTCCACACATATGTGTGTGTCCATATGTACACCCTGAACACACACCCAGCAAATGTCTGAGATGAGCACTGATTTATTTTTCTGCATGGGTGGTATTAACAGTTGAGTGCTGTGTATCACAGGGTCTTGAACTACTTTCTTTTCCTCCTTCCCTTTGCATGCTGCCTGCCCAAGCACGCTGCTAGGTTTGGAAAGAACAGCCTACACTGGCAGAGATGTATCCCTCATAAAAAGTGTACCTGCAGTTTGGCAGAAAGGGCTGACATCTTCTGGCTGCTTGCAGTGAAGGGGGAGCTTGTCAAGGCTATAAGACAAGCTTCAGGTGGTCTGGAGGAAGGGCAGCAGCTCTGTAATTATGCTGAAGTGAAATATGGTTTTATCAAGCTAACAAATGAGGCACTGGTCATCGACTGCTGCATGGGATTTCTTGGAGAGGTTAGTCTCCTTTGGAGAGGGGAAGGTATGCATGGGTGTTCAGACCCAGTTCAGACTGCTGACAGAAGGGAGACTGAAATGAGCTCTTAGGCAGAAGCTCTTCCCTGTGAGGGTGCTGAGGCACTGGCATAGGGTGCCCAGAGAAGCTGTGGCTGCCCCATCCCTGGCAGTGCTCAAGGCCAGGTTGGACACAGGGCCTTGGAGCAAGCTGCTCTGGTGGAAGGTGTCCCTGCCTGTGGCAGGGGGCTGGAATTGGATGAGGTTTAAGCTCCCTTCCAAACCATTCCATGATTCTATACCTCTAAGAGAAGCTCTCATTTTGAGCAGCACAAACATAACTGACATTTCCACCAACTGTTTTCTAAAACCCTAATATAAAGATTTCTTTTTACTGTTAAGCCACATGCTTACTACCGAGACAAGAAAAAACCAAAGCAACCCCCACCTGCAGCCTGTTTCTGAAAGATGCTGCTGTGGTACTTTATCTGGGCTGCAACCAAGCTCTTGTCAGCAGTAACTCTCAGTCCAGCTTTTCACTGGTACGTGTTAACACTGATATTACAGGGTGCCTCATAAATAACTGTGCCAGCAAGACAGACACTGGGGAGGGAACCTGCTTTCCACTTGTCTTTCACCCTGTTGCCCCAGATAATGGATTTAGAAACTACAGTAAATATGCAGACTGTAATCTAGTACAGTTCTTTCCCCTTCCTCCACCCCACTTTCTTGGAAGGACATGCTCTTTTTCTCTGAGCTTTCCTCTGCTGCCTGTGGGTGTGCATTAGGATGTAGGCACTGAAGCAGATTCTTGGATCTGGTTACAAAACTAATGCAAAGAGCTGCCAAAAACCCAGGGCATCAATAAGTGAAACTCCCAGCTCCAGTTCTGCTGCACTCCATTCCATTTTACATCAGCTTCTGCATCATCAAAGGTGAGACATGGTGGCCAGGCTTTCGTAGATCCTGAGTTATGCATGTGTGGAGTCATATGCAGAGGTAAGACACCCCATCTATTCCCACTGTACAATGCCGGGTGACTACCATGGGCTGTGCTGCACTAGAGCACTGCTCAGCCCTACTCCCATTCCAGTAACCATCAGCCACTAGCTTTCACACTCTCCTACTTCCTCGACAACTTTTGCTGAACCATTTACAGTTTGATTTGCAAATGCTCCTTTTTTAGGTTTTGTTCTGACCCACACTTGGAGTAGTTTCCATGCAATTTATTTTCGTTACCCCTATATGAATTCCAAACTTGTCTCACTAAACTCCACAACTCCTTGCTTATTACAAGCATGCTAATTGCAGGCTGCATGATACAGCTGACAGAGGCAGTTCCATCACGATAGTCACATTTCCTTCCCCTGTCCCAAAGCACCTCATCTGTCCTGTCCTCTCTGCTGATGCTGAGCTCAGGAAGCAATGGAAAGCCACACCACTTTCTCCCTTGGACAGAATGAGGTTTATAGCCTGGTTCCATGGCAGTGGCATGAAGAAAGTGTTCTGTACAACACAAACTCATCACCCAGCACTACCATACTGCACTTCAGGAGCCTTTTTCAGTGCTTGCTGGTCAAGAGCTTCAGCATATTCCACCTGGCTGTGAAAGGAAATGAGTTACTGCCAGAGTGGTGGGTTTCTTCATCACATATTTTCCTCCTACACCAGGCTCAACTATTCATAAGATGCTAAAAAAAAATCTGTGCCAATAAAGTAACTAACCCAAAGTTCACTGTCTTCCTTTCTAATCAAATTCAATAAATGAATTTTTCTTTAGGTACGATGGAGATGAAGGATTTTCTCTCTCAGTCTGCAGCCAAGCACCAGATGTGTCTTCCTCTGGAAGCTGGTTTCACATGGTGGCTTAGATTTTCCCACTTTGTATCTAGCACCATTTGAAATCAGTGTTCTAGGAGCAAGAATTACAGCGTGGGAAGAGAGCAAGCAGCTGCTGAATGCACCAATGGCCTCTACTCCTTAAACCAGCACTTTTCCCACTGGCTATTTTTTTGCCAGCCATCCACTTTGTAACATCATCTGACTTCTAGACACTCATACAAGCACTGTATGCACCCTCTCAAGCTAGGGCCACCACAGAACAGCTGCCTTCCAATGTATTTCTACTTAATAAACAATGGATATGAGTTCAAGTTGTCCAGAGTAAAGTGATCCAAAAGTTGCATCAAAACCAATGCAGTACTTCTTGCACCTTCACAGGCAGAGTGTGTTTTCTTTATTATACAGTCACTCAGATCCTAACATTTACTTAAAGCAAATGTATTTCCACTCTGTGCCTGGGGACTCTGTGGCCATAGAACTTATCATTCCGTAGCTCCCTGAGACTTGCAAACACAGAACAACCTGAAGTCAGCAGTTAAACACAAAAGTGCCTTCAGCAATCATGCTGCTGTCATGCTGGTACCCACAGAATCTACTCGAAGTTTATTACCGGTAACTTGTAGTACTGTTTCTGTAGTCTTCTATCCCCTTGCATCCAAACCACTAAAACGAAGCTAAACTATTTCTTGTTCAACCTCACCATTGTCAAACATTCTACACAGAACAGACGATCGCTGTGTGGATGAAGCGTTTGATCAGAGCACTGAATAGTCAACTTTAAAGAACATGTAGCTGCCATCTACAAGAGGATCCTTCTCTGAGCCAGGAAAATGTCTCTTACACAGGCTGACCGATTTCTCTTGGTGTTCAGAGTCTCAGTTTTTGTCTAGCACCATTTGAAATCGGTTATGATGTAGGGGGAAAAGCAACAGTAATGGAAAACTTCATTCCCCCGCCCCCCAAAGTCCTTAGAGACAAACACCACCAAAGGCACAGACTTCACTAACACGGTATGCTTTTCTGTTCTCCGACCTGAAGTTACACCTGGCCATCCTGCTCAGAAGGAGGACAGTCAGCATCACGCTCAACTAGGAGGGATGCTTCAAGAGAAAGTGAAGCATCTGTTCAAACACCTCACTCAGATTCTTCAACTCAAGCAAGCCAGGGCCCATGTGTCAGCAGAGCCACCTAACCTTGACTGGTTATATTCCATGTGCTATTTGTTTGCCTTAACCTGTTATTTACTCAGATCTTTTTTTCCTTTGAAATAAAATTGTGTCCTACTTGGTATCAAGCTCTGTCTCAGGCAGACAGATGACATGTTCCCTGCAGGACAATACCTGATTGCTGCAAGTCTCTTCATTTCAGTCCCCAGCTCCATTTTCAACCCCATGAACCATGCTCAGAAGTGAGCATTTACACTGAAGTGTACCACTGAGAACCCCACCAGCCACTGACACTATACGCAATGTTCAAGTAGCACCTATGTTTGGTTACTCCCACAGCGAGACCATCACTTGCTTTACCAGTAGATGGCAACAAGAGATTTTTACTACATGCAGCCCTTTTCTTAGCACAAAGTTCATGTGTTCGTGACTCTTTAATTATCAGCTCCAGATTCTAAAGTGAAGGAATTCACCTGGGACTGAGTTTTAGAGAAATGGTACAGAATTAATGGCAATGAGGACAAATTCAATTGTAAGTGTTTCAGTCAGATTGCCTGTCCCGTCAGTGCTCACTGCAATCCTCAAACTTTGGAGATTGTAAACCTGTGTAGTCTACAGATAGAAATTCTCAGTCCACACCAACTCCTGTTGACTATCACAACCTCAACTGAAAATAATATGATTCTATGATTCTATATTAGTTATTTTTCTATTGCATCCTCTCAAAGGCTTTATCTTCTAAGGCAGCTCACTCCACATGTTTCTTTGAAAAGAAAATTAAGCATATTGTGAATGTAAAACTCAGAACTAATCACATTCTACTTAACATCTGACACACACTGGACAACAGTGCCAGAACACTGAGCTTTGCTCTTAGTATTGTACCGCAACAGCCACCTGATAATCTGTCTGATCTCCATCAAGCTTTTAACACATTTTTCAGGAGTGAACGCTGGTTTGGGAAGGATCTGGGATATTCCCTTCCCTTCCAAAAGAAAACCAAATGCTGCTGAGCAAATCAAACCGCATTCTCTACACTGCCAAACTGCAAACTTCCATCTCAACAGTTGTCACCTAACACAAGTTGGGTACATGAAAAATCAGCTGAAGAAGCATGGGAAAGTAGCTGCTTGGCACATAAAGAATGAAAGACAAACACTTACTGCTAAATAATTTAACATTTTTATTTGGAATAGTCTTTACATCTGGAAAAAAAAGGTGTAAAAAATAAGGCCATTTGGTACAGTTGTTTCACTCGAGCATGAAGTGCATTTCAGCATACTTTAAAACATCCAGGATGCCATACATAAAAAGCTACTCGTGACCAGCACACACTCCGTTCCCAGTATATTACCCCAGAGTTTACAAACCATTGTCAAACTAGGTATCAGCTAGACCATGAACAGCAGCAAGTCATTCTGTGTAGCCAAAACCTCTTTTTAGTAACCAGAGTCTATTATGAACTCGAACAATACAGCTGTTGGGATTGTCCCAAAAAGCCCTAGAGAGCCCTAAATAGTTCTATGTTATTCCAACAATCTGCTCACAACAGTGGGGAGCAGTGCCAATCTACCACAGAAAAACATGAGGAGTTTAAAGGCTGCCTTTAAGCTACATCTGAAGTGAGACAATTTGGGTTTTCTGGGAAAACTGGTTCTTGGAAGCTGTCTGTATGCTGTTAGCAAACTCCAGGATTCACAACGCCAAACCCTGTCCTAAGGAAGCTTTTGGTTTTAATAAGGAATTAGGAGGAGGAAGGATGCGATGCATTTAAAGTAACAGCTATCAATGCACATCTGAGTCTCCACTCATGGCAAACACTGTGCTGTAAGCTCCTGTAGTCACAGTCTTGACTCAAACACTTCATGAAGCAAGCAGCTACCTAAAGAGAGCCCTCATCTACCACCACAGCCAGTATATCCATTCCTTCATTCCTGCAACTCATCTGGTTGGTATTCCTTTAACATGGAAAGAGAAGGGAGTCTGACAGGGAAAGGCTTCTGTTTCTCAACAGATATTTAATGCTAAATCTAGTGTTACAGAGCTAAATTTAGCATTACAGTCTTTACACAGATTGGGAACATGGAATACATTATTTCAAGTGAAAAAAGCAAGGAAGCTAGATCCACCCAGTGCCCTATCCTGGAAAGCAAATGTGATCTTCAAAACTGCATCAAGGCTCAATAAAAATCAAGCATCCCAAGGACCTTACTGTGCACTCCCAATAGGACATGGCTACCACTGATTTCTCAGCAGTTCCTTCAATTAAGCACCTTCTGTCAACAGGCCAAGAATTCAAAAGCAGGGAATACCTTTTGCTATAGAAACCTTCAGTTTCCCATTCCAACTAATCTACTGTAGTCTTTCTGGGACTGTATCAAAGAGCCAGAAATATATATGCCTTCTTCTTAAAGGCAACAGAAAAGCATAAAACTCTGATTTAAAGGCACACTTTAATTAACTAGATATACAGAAACCAACTTTAGCAAACAAAGAGGTAGCATATAGAAGAGCTAAACTATGATAGTTTCAAAGAGACATAACCTTAAATGGCACTGACTGCTTCAGGGAAATAAGAATAAAACATTTCAGAACACAAGAGAACATCATCTTTTAGAGCACTTCAAACAGCCAAACTGAATGAGAAGCACATTCAGATTTTAGTGAGCAGAACTGGATAGTCTTCTGTAAGAAAAGACGTAGCACTGAAGGCAGCAGGAGCTGGTACTGGGACAGGGATACATTCAGTGCTCCCACAGACACAAACACTTTTGCAGGCCACATGTATGGGCCTTCAAGACCATTTCACATATACAGAAAAGACAGTATGAGTGGCCCATAAAGAAAAGCAGGTATCTCTCTCTCTATATATTTGTTTTACCCTATTAATGATCTATGATAGTTAATCAGTAGTCTAAGACATGATACAAGATATTAATCTACAGGAACTTTAAGCAAATGCAGTCATTTTCCATTCCTGATTGGGACATTCAACTGCAAATTCCCTCCCACCCCCAAAAAGGTCATTCATGCTTTACAGATCTTATATTCGGCAGTACATGGAGTGCTGTCACGTTTCCTACAAACAGAAAAACAAGTCAAATCAGAGGGTTTACATTCAAATAGTTTTTACATTCATTCTGAAAGCACATCCTTAGTTTTATCATCAAATCAACAGGTAGTCATGAAACTAAATCATTAGTTGCCCTCTTACTAAGCAGCTGCTAGACTGAGGAGATTTTTACTCCATTTCATCCACTAGACTGTCCAGAACAACCCACAAAGTAGAACAGCATTTGATCCAAAGGGATCATTTCAAATGATGAACAGACCATGCCTGAGAATTATCAACAACTGACACAACAGTTACAGGATCCCTAATTGATTTGTGATTCCTAACATCAAGAGCATCCCTTCCAATTCATTTTAAATACAGCATGTTATTTAGTACATATGTTTATAACCAGAAGCTGTGGATTAGGTTATGAGAATTTGGATTCTGTAGCCTGCTAACAGCAAGTTTACAAATACTTAAACATCTGAGGATTGAAATTTGTCATTACACCCATATATGTGTTTAAGTTCTTGAATAATTCCCGTTTTGCTTTGCAGAAATAAATCACATTCCAAATCTCTGCACTACTACTCAAAGTCACTAAGGAGTTCTAGATACCATAATGCAAACTCGGGGTTAATAGTGGAAACCTCTTACTTCAGGGGTAAAGATGATATTACTTAATCCTTACATCAGTTTGTAAGAAACCTTGAGCTTAATTTTCATATATGCAACCCCAAACTTATGAAAACTAGTGAAAGTCCCTTGTTCTTTGGAAGTAAATAAAATCAAGACCTTTGCATTAAAGCAGGAGACATCAATGTTTCAACCATCACCTCCTCAGAATTTGTGCAATGCAGAAAAACAAAACAAAGATACCAATTTACAAAAGGACTTGCAGTGCAAACTGTTAAGGGAGAATGAAATACTGACAAGGATCAGTCAAATGAAGCCGTCTTGTCTTCAACTTATTTTGTTGCAACAAGGTTTGAAGAGTCAGGTGTTTGGAAGAGGTGATTTGACCCTACACAAGTGCAGGAGTAATCATAACTATCATCAAGTGCATCTGACTACTGGACTAAGCACTAAAAGATAGGAGAGGAAATCAGTCTTAAACAAGCAAATCGATTTTGATCCCTTTTAAGGCTACAGAAGTTTGAATTTGAGAAAGAAATCATCTTTTCATAAAAAGGTTTAAAAAGACCACCTTGTTTGCACCTTCTTTTATCCTTCTAGAAAGTTCTCAGTAATCCTGAGATGCACATAATTTGGTTTTCTCTGAATGGAAGCACACTACCACTATAATTCTAGTGTCCCTGTAATGTAGCAAAAGTGGCTTCTACCTCCAACGGTCTTTTAATGACAGGGATTTACACTTTGAGCTAATAAAAGTAACCCACCACTGGAATCCATATCACTGAAACAGCTGCAAACATTCTACTAAGCATGTATGTAGTTTCTATCTGACACAAAAATTTTTTCTTCTTCAAAGACAACCCAACCCTCAGATAGGTGCTTTGCAATCACTGGAAGCTCTCATTTACCACACTGAATGCTAATTCTTTCTGCAATATATCCTATTCTCCTCAAATGAAGGGTTAGCATAGTCTTTCCTCTATGAAACTGAGCTATATTCCACACTTCTCCTGGAATTCTAAGTAAGCCATAATAACACAGACACTTGAGCTTCATTGCAAAAGTCCAAATGAAGTGGAAAGTGTATATATACCTTCTTAAGATTCACTTATTCATTTGTGAAGTTTCTTCCATCTCAGCTGGCTTTTAAAATACATGTTTCCTTGCAACTCTCATCAACTGTATATGAGCTGAACAGCAGAAGGGGAAAAACTGAATGTCCTATAAAACTGGCAGATTAAATACACAAGAAAGAGAGGGCAAGGAAAGATTTGGGCTGGCATTTGAAGACAACAACCCAGCAAGTGTGAGGCACTGAAGCACAACAGTTCAAAGGCTCAGCTATATCAAACACAGAAAACTGAAGAGGAAGAACTAGGCCTTCACAAAAGGAGATTAGATGACGGCTTTCAGACAGAAAGAGGTTTAACAGTCAGATGTTCACAGCGAGGAAGCTTAAGGAAAGCACTGGGCACAGTAAGACTTTTCATGCTGTAAAATTTTCAGGAATAGACCATTCTTTAACTTTTGATGATTTTGCTTCAGATCCCTCCTTTCTACACCCCAAGAAGTCTCTCCACAGATGAAGGCAGAAAGTGCCCAAATAAATTAACTCCCATGTACTCTTATTTGGGCCACACAAAGTGCAGATTGTCCAAATTACGGGTGAAAAGCAATTGCTCAAAAGCGCTAAATTAGTTCACAGCACACAGGTACACAGCCACTCTGGCCCTTCTAATGATCCCGTACTGTCTACATAAAAGATACTTAGGCTAAAACCTCACTGGATACAAGCTAGCTCTGGAGTTCTCCCAAGAAGTACTCCATGTACCTCATTACAAATATGAACTGCAGGAACATTTCCCTCTGGTTTACTTTACGTAAAGGATCCCTTCCTTTGCTTAACATACCCCAGATAAATTCCACCAGATTTTGTTGCAAGGCATGTCAGCTTTGACAAGGTGCTTCTCAAAACATTCTATGTGTACCCCCCAACTCACTCTGAATTTTCATTGTATAGCATGTTACAAATGACTTTTCTAACAAAACAGGCTTTTTTCAAGAAGATAAAAAAAGACATTACTGCAACAAGCAATGCACGAAGAGGCTGCTGCCACCCCTCCAGGAAAAAGCATACACAACCATCAGCTGTTTGGAAGATAAAGTTCAAAAGGCATTATATGTCTCATTAAAAACAGAGGAACAGTACTTCTGCATCTAGTATTTTACAGTTGACTTTGCATGTCTTTGACATAGGGACAGCAATCATTGCTGCTGCAGGAGGAAAAACTGAAGTGGATCCACACACTGAACGTTCTAGTAGCAAGCCAGACTCTTTGCTTGTTCAAACATCGTAAGAGCTCTGGTTTAGGCCAAGTTTCTTTCACATTTTCTATGTAATTAAGCCCATCTTATTTTACTCAAGGTGCCTCTGGTCCAAAACACAAAATACAGTGGTTCTCCAGTTACCCTTCGCTACCATTGGGATATATTATGCAGAAGAGAGGAAGCTCCTTAGTCCATTTCTGAGGCTTCCAGTTCATGTAAGCCACTCTGGCTCTTAAAGCCTGTGAGACTCAGTGACACCAGAGGGTATCCAAGCAGTAGAATAACACAAGCCCACAGAAGCCAATACTACCACTGGTTTTAAGAGGTCAACTGATATATTTTAAAGCAGATACAAACAGTACATTCCTCAGAAAGCGTACCTATGCCAAACAACAAGCTTAAGAACAGTGGGGGTTCGTTCTCTAAAATTAGTGCAAGTGTTAATCAGCAGCTTATCTACACAGCAGATACAAAAATGAAGTCAAATACATTGTTAGGCATTTTAGCTTCCCATCAGCTGCAGTGGTAAGCTTACATATAGTCATCAGATGTTTGAAAGAGTAGATAAAGCTCAAGAAACGCACATTAGCTTTTGTTCATTTAGAAATATGCAATAATAATGATGATAGAAAGTAGGCTTACTCACCCATTTTGTGCAAAGAACTTCTTATAGGCCCAGAAGGCTGCCAGGAACACAACGACTGCCACAATCACTTTAGGAAGAATTAAAGAGAAAAGCCTTAGAGCAATGAAGATCTTTTCTAGCTCACAAAAAAAAAAAACCTCAAAAAGTTCTTCCTACACAGCCCTAAACAACCCCTCCCTCCCAAAAACACCCTCAAATTTGCATGGCTGATTTTACAAATGCTTTACTCAAGACTTTAAGACAGTTCAGCTCAAGAACAGACCACCAAGATGGCAAAAAAAGCTCAGTAACACTAAAACAGATACTATGTCCTAACATTACTTTTGACACCAACTTTGTAAGAAAATGGTAGGCTTACAAAACTGGGTCACAAATGCAAGGACAGAAGATGGACTAAGCACTTCTGTTCCCTGGCACGCTGCCAGTAAACCTAAGCTCTGAGTTGTTTATGGAAGTCACTAAGTTGTGGAAGGCTGTCTTTGAAATCTGTTACAACATCGTACATGAGGGGGCATCACTGCAGTCACAGTGATACCACAATGACCACGATGTCAATTCCAGGTAAAAAGTACAACCCACAGTGTATCTTGTTCAGGTTTTATAAGATACTTACCACAAATGATGGCTGTAATATAGGCACCTAGAAACAGAGTGAATCAGTATCACAAGAGGAACACATGTGCTTCTTAGTCAAACATTACTATACAAATATTCACAAAGTCACCTCAAAAAGATCAAGCACTTCTGTCAACACGATCCTGCTGCAAGGATTGTGTTGACAGTCTGTATCATAACATTTAACTGAAAATATTCCTATTTTTAAATGGGTTTTATCACAACCTATTTTCCTTATGTCAAAATAAAAGAAGAAAGTTTGCATTAAATGATTTCTCCCATATACAAAAGAATGTCCCCATGAAGTAAAGCTTCTGTTACATGCATTTTTATTCTAGTGCAGTGCAAATTCTTACAGTTCGTACTTACTTAACTGGCACGTTGGCACTGCAGGAACCCAGCGATTTTCTCCAGTATACTGAATTTGAGCTTCCCCATGTAATGTGTAGCCTGTGTAACATTCAATCGTTATCATATCCCCCACAGAATATGAAGTTTTTTGTCCATCAATTACTTTACCATAATTTATATGTGGAGTCAAACCAGAACTTATAGGCCCACCTGGAAAGAGAAGGAGAGGAGGGGAAACAGGAAATAAAGGTCAAGAACAGAGCTGGTACATGAAGCAGATTCAAGTTGCAGTCAAAAAGCTGCTACATTTGTGTAAATGTCAGAAGCTCAGTCAAGCCTTAAGACATCTTACATGCAAAGGCCTGCTGCTTCCTACAGGTTGCAGCTACTTCTGCTGCTGGGCATGCTTCAGCCACAGGAAGAGAAATACATGTCTGAGCTTCATTAGGACAAACAGCTGCATGACAGTAATGACAAGCCCTGTCTACACATGCTATTGATTTTACCAATTGAGCCTTACTAACATGCACAGTCTTGTAAAGAACTCCATGTATTCTGTCCTTGGCAAGTTACTGTCATCTCTTCAGCGCCATGAGGGAAAGTACAGTGAGCACTGCACTTGATCTGAACAGACTCTCCTCCTTCATACACCGATTTTGCTGGAATCACTACTCCATGTGTGATCTCCGGGGCACCACACACACTTCTAGTAACTGAGACATGGATTTAAAAGTAAGTTGAGTGATAATAAATTTGAAATCATTCATAATTCACTGACTCACTCCAGAAATACATCTTTCCTTTGTATGAGAAAAACAGATCAGCAGATCTCAATAGTTTAATTTTACAATGCTAAGCATAAATGTTTCCTTTTGAAGACTTAAACATCACTACAGGTGTTAAGATAGCATGATCTTATGATGTGGCAGCTAATAAATTCATATTTGATTGTTAATTATCTTTATAAGCTCTAGAATCATTGCCAGGTGCCTCATCAGACTCATTCATTATGGAACACCCAAACATACTCTTTGCAGAAATGCTTCTCGTACTTGGGAGCTCATTATGCGTGTGAAAACATCTCTCACTGTACTATACAACATTCCCTTTCCCTCTAGCACAAAAAGACAGGAGAAAGGTTATAGAAAGACCTCTGCAATATTCCCAAAGACTAGAGAACACAGACACAACGATTCCGATTACTTTAGAAGGACACTATACATTTCCTCACAGTGCATACTCCTAGGTCTTTCTATCACAATTCAGAAACACATTTTTTCTCCTATATTTACAGAGGAAATCACTGGAACAAACACCATGAGGCTATTATGATGCAGCAGCATCACAGCATGTCCACAGCACAACTTCTATGCACATTTAACTCGAATCTCACTCATCTGAATAGTCTTCACTCAAACACCTAAAATGCTTGCCCACAGGCAAGGCTCCATGTCAACTTCCTTTAGCTTCTGACTCCACCTAAAGTCTTATGATTTTATATTTTAGTTAAGACAGATTTAAAACATTCTCAACATACAAGAGAATTTGGATTCTTTTTAAAGGCTTACTTTTCTTACAAGTTGGTTTTGGAGGAGACCAGGTGTTATTTTCTCCACAGAAAATTACCTCTGATCCATTCATGACATAGCCTGGATCACATTCAAACATGACAGAGTCCCTGTAGGTATAGGAAGGTCCAAATCCACTTGTTTTTTTTCCATTTTCAACTTTTGGATTTTCGCATTTGACCACTGAAAGAAGAAAAACAGCTCTGAAACATTTGTTAACAGTATCTATGCAACAGATAAAGCTTCCTTCTACTAGTTGTGAGCATCCTTATCTAATTCCTTAAAGGTCTCTGGAGAGGCCTTGTAAGACAGTTACTCTCGAAGAAGGTCCTTGTTTTAAGCTACTGAGTCACTGTAACTGAACACAGATGAATAAAAATTGCAGTAATAGGTATCATCACATTCCACTTCCAAAAGACATACTCCTTGCAATAATCTAGCTTCCATATACTTGCTTTTAAGACAATTTTTCTTCAGCTACCCAGGCTTTATGGCCCCTCCACTCCCTCACTTTGTCCTTGTCACTTCTACCAACAGCATGCTCATATATATAAAGTTTTAAGTTAAAGTTAGTCATACTCAGTGTCATAATCAATCAACATCCATAGTACAGTTGCTCTATTTCCACTGGAACTGTATCATACAGTACCAGAGATCTGTTTCTTCTTTTCTACAGGGAAGTCTGTTATATCCTCCCCCGCTAAAGAAGGGACAGTATTGAAGTTTTAGAGTCACATAAAAGCTATAACCCTAGAATGGATTGGGTTGGAAGAGACCATAAAGCTTATCCAGTTCCAATCCCCTGCCTCAGGCAGGGACCCCTTCCACTGGAGCAGCTTGCTCCAAGGCCCTGTGTCCAACCTGGCCTTGAGCACTGCCAGGGATGGGGCAGCCACAGCTTCTCTGGGCACCCTGTGCCAGCGCCTCAGCACCCTCACAGGGAAGAGCTTCTGCCTAAGAGCTCATCTTAACCTACCCTATAATAAATAAGTATATTAAAATAAAAATCTCAACAACCTTTACATTGTGGAGGTTCTTCGCTCCAAACACCATTTAAGTCTGTATCATATGTGCAGAAAATAGTAGCTGAGCCAATCAGCGAGAAGGGATCCGTGCCTTTTGGTGCCTCGTCACACGTATAGGTTACTGCGGTCTGATAAACATAGCTGGCTGCTTCAGTGTGGTGCCCATTGGCTATACTTGGAGGAGGTTTGCAAGGAATTCCTAGAAATAAACATCACAAAGTATCCAATAGAATCTCATTGTTACCTTGTTCATCTCAGAAACAGCCTTGATTTTCATATTACATCATTTAAAATCTGATAGGTAACTATTGTTAAGACAAGCTACAGTTATAACTGAGAGTCACTAGTGGTCATTTGGTATTATAGGGGGTCTCAATTTCAAGAAGAGGCTGACCTTAAACTAATAGGAGCTAATTACCACAGCCACTGATATTTTTCAGTGGTCATGCCTCAGGCACACGCCACAGAGTTCCAAAATACTAAAAACCAAAATCAGTCCTCTTTTACCATCATTTCTTATACTGGAAAGTTTATAGCACAGCTGTTTTTAAATGAACTACCACCATGTGAATATGAACTTCAGCACACTAGTAATTCACTTACTTTCACAAAGGGGAAGATCTCTATCCCAGTCAACGCCTTCATTCTTAATTACACAGGTAATTTCACTAGGTCCTCGTAAACGGAATCTAGACAGGTAAAAATTTTTGAAGAGGTGAAACTTAAGAAATCTCTCATTTCTCCAACAAGCACCCAGAAACTTTGTTTCTGTCATTCTGTTCTGTGGTAAGGGGCACATAACACACCAAGCTGCTGCTGTAATGAGAAAGATACTTGATTGTTTTCTTGTTAACAGTCTTAACTTTGAAAACGAAAAAGAAGCAAATGACACATCACTAAAGGAAGTGATGAAAATCACACCATATTTAGATGTGTACCATCTAACACTAATGCCCTAAAGATACCAATGCTAAAGAAATAAGCTGTTAAAAGGAAAGGGAGGGAAAAAAGTTGCAGGAGGCTAGTGCTTTTAAGTTATTTAACTATACACAGACAAGTGGGCCATTATTCAGTAAAATAATGAAGAGTAATGCATGTGTATTTACTCCCTCTGCCACAGGAGCATTAAAAGAAGACATTAGAGGTAATACCCTAGTCTTCAGAATCGGACTACAAAGCTTAAGCCTTAGTTGATGCCAACAAGTAAAACCAGGGAATCAAATCAAGTTTAGCCGTAGTTGCATTTACTCCAGGTAAAATTCAGGAGACATTTCAAGTCAGAATTGGAATAGAGCCTGCATAAGAAAATCTGGGATTGGTTCAAATCTGGTCTAAACAAGAAAAGAAATAAAAGAAAAAGGACTCATTAACTCTATCAAAATACTTACCCTGCTCTACAAGAAAAAGTAGCTTCTGAACCAAATGTAAGATCTGTCACATTAACAAAGCCATCTCCCAGTTCTCCTGGATGCCTACATTTTCTCTCTAGGGAAGCGAGAAAAAGAAATCAGTCTACATCTCTGTAATTATATACAAAGACTAAGTCTCTGGCATATACTGCTCTTCCTGTCATTAGTATTTTTCATGCTTTGTTTAAAATACTACAGAATCCTAATCCTTACTCGAAAAAAACAACTCTAATTCTTAAACACCAAAGGGAATCAGCATCCGAGCTCATGCACACATTACCTGTACAGAACTCCTCTGTGGGTGACCACTGGAAGTCTTCACCACATGTCCGAGTTAATGATTTTCCAGCAATTCTCATATATCCCGGACGGCAGATGTACGACACCGAGCTTCCAACGGGAAAACTCTTCATTGTGCTGAATCTCTCCTCAAGTTCTGCATACTGCAGCCTGTCTGGAGGCTCACACGTGCCTGTCAGAGCAAGTGAAAAGGGAAACTAACGCACAGTCTTGTCACCAAAAGATATAAGTTGAGGCTTAATAGCTAATTTAGTTGGGTTTAAGGACTCATCGGTTAAGAGGTGACAATCTTAAGAGCCACAGCTGTCTATATATTTAACTAGGTTTCAACTTTTTAATATATATTTTACTTGCAACCAATGACCAACTCTACACTAGTATAGGTTACTCACTCCTTTGTTTTCTCAAGTTCAGCATTCCACCCAGACAATGCATTTCCTTCCAGTTCATATGTTTTCCTCTGTCTAAATCTTGAAGTTAAACACATGACTTAACTCCCTGTATACCCATCTGCAGCAGAAAAAGCCTGTTTATTTAGCTGCAGGGAAAACAAAGGAGCCAGCCACACTCACATAGCTCATTTCCTTTCTTAAGGCAAAAGCCCAGCAGGTGATGGAATTGAGTTTAAGACAAAGGGAGACACACAGACCTACAGACCCAGGGACATACTGAGGTGCTGTTAATGAAGGCGTAAAACTCCTCCATGCCAAAAGACACAGAAAAACACATTCAGGACCTTGAAATCCACATACAAATGCCAGATCCGCCCAGTCACACACACACACGCACAGAGACCTCTCTGAAGATACCCATCATTCAGTCCCTTCGTATTTGCGTTTAGAGATTTCCCTCCGGTTTACACCTCAGCCTCAGGGTCACAACCGGCACCCGTTACCACCGAAGCCTGCTCGTGCAGCACAACCTTTCTCTCACCTTTCCGCCCCAAGGCCCAGCCAAGCCGCCCGGAAAGCTCGCTGCTTCCGCCACCCCCGAGCCCATTTCCTCCTTCAACCCCCGCTTCCCCCCTAAGGGCCCCGGGAAGGCCCCTCTCAGCGCGGCGGCCCAGGGGAGGAGAGAACGAGCTCTGCTCCCCCCCCCACCAAAACACTCCCCCGCCATGGCGGGCAGCGAGCACCCGTTCCTCACCCTGCGCCCGCGTTCCACCGAGCCACGACAGCGCCAGCACGAGCCCGACCGCGAGCCCCGGGCCGCGAGCAGGAAGGCGGCGCGGCGGCCCCATGACCGCGGCGGCCTCAGCGACAGCGGCCGCTCCGCGCCTCTGCCGGGCCACGGCGGAGACGCAGCGCGGGCTGAGGCGCAGGCGCGGTGCTGCCCACCCCGCCTCTTCCCTCAATGGCGGCGGCAGCTAAGGCGGAGCCGCTCCGCCTCTGAGGCCGGTGCACAGCGGCGGTTCCCCGGCGGCGGCTCCCCTGGAGGTGAACCGGGTGTGGGCTTGAGCGCACCGCGTCCTGCGGTGAGGGGGAGAGGCAGAGCGCGGTTAGCGGGCGCAGCTCCAGCACCAGCAAAGGGTCATTAACCGACCCTGGGCAGGGCGGCGCCTCTGCGAAGCAAACTGCGTGTGGTGCAGAGCAGCGTGATAATGATAAAAACACTTAAAACTCTAGAGAAAAACCTAACGCAAGTGTTGTCCCATGCTCAGCTTTTATTAGGTTAAGCAGTCATAGAGGAACGCTGCTAATAAGCGCTCCTAAAAGATGCAGAGCAGCGCTTGGTGATGCTGCACATGTGAAGACAGTCGCTATTAAGACAAGTTGTGGTTAAACTCTTGCTTTCCACACAGGAATGCGTTCATGGATCTTGCTTATCGCAGCGTTTGCATATAGAGAAAGGAAATGTTCCTCATCGGCTGGCAGCAGTGTAGAGAACTCCCTTGGAAATACCCCTGTACCACAGGCAACCTGCGCTTGGTTAGATCCTTGCAGCAGGACGAGCGTTGATGTCCTTTCCACAGTAAAGTGCCTTTTTTTGGCTGCAGAATTCCATTTTCAACATAAGCAATGCTTCCATGCAACCTAGAGCCACTCTCTGTATGGAGAACCAGTTCCGTGCCAGGTTGGTGGCAGCACAGGTGCCCAGCCTAGGGAAAAGATGACACTGGGGAGTTAAAATGAGGCTTTTCCTGGTATAGAGATTGTGTCGTAACTCAGGGAGGGAGGAAAGAAGTTCTGGGAAATGCATTGTTGCAAAGGAGGGATTATTGAAAGCAGCCTCAAAACAATACAGTGGAAGAGCGGATGGTGCCATTTGGTAGTCAAAGCTGGTTATGGTAAGAGTGCTCCGAACAGTGAAAATTCGTCACTATCTTCAATAAATTCAGCGTGAAGACTAAATGAAAATGGCATTGCAATAAGTGTAAAAACAAGCAAACCCCCCCCCCCCCCCCCCCAAGGGCCAGTTCAATGTCCTTTTTCTTAAGGCAGATTTTTTAGAGAGCAAGCTCTCCTATAATCCATACAAAATCAAAGCAGGTTTATGGCAGAAGCAGGCATAGTCTGCAAGTCTGACCTGTGAACACCATCTATTCAGGTGGTGCAAAAGGAAATGAACACATTGAGGGTTTCAGAAAGAAAAACAGGATGTTTATAAGAAAGCCTAGTCCATTTTATTCAGCAAAAGAAAGCATCTTACCATATGATTGAGAGAAAATAGTTTTCAGCTTGAAGGACTATATTGGAATGACTCAAGTTCCTGCTATAAATGACCTTTTCTGTTGAGGAATAAAAATCCATACCTTCTATTGAAGACACGAACACTTTGGTTCAGTTATCTCATTCAGAGGGGTTTGGTAACTGTGGTTTTCATATGTATCATAATAGCTAAGTGGAAAAAACACCAACAGAAAACAGTGAACTGCAAAAGAACACTCAGGTTGGTTTCCTCTAATGAAATAAAACAACATAAACCACACCATTGATTCCAGGTTGCTGTGCCTTGTACAGTTTGCAAGGAGGAGGTGAAGATACAAAAGCCCCTGGCACACTCAGGTAAATACTTGGGGAGTATAAAGCGTATACAACTTGGGACTTGGCAACAAAGGATCATCCAGGAGACCGACAAATGAGCATCCAGGAGACTGCCTTACCCTTCCTTCTGCTTGGAAATAATTTTCCAGACAATGCCTGCCCCCAGGAGAAGCAGGACTCCTGCAGCTACGACTCCTGAAAGAGAAGAGCATGTATTATTCTCACTGTGCGTTTTAAAGTATATCAGCACAAAAGATATAACGAGGCTTATCTTTAAAGCAAGCAGAAGGAAATGGTGCCACCAAAACCACTGCATAAAGCTAAGACCTGGCCACAGAAATGTTTCTAAGCTGCTTACCTACACCTACGGAACCAGACTTGTGTGATGCTGAAGGGAAGAGAAGAAATAAAATCAGCAAAGTATTCTAACAAAATATGGTGCTTCTCATCAGTATTTGATCACTTTACCAATAAAGGTTTTACTTCTAAGGCCTACAATAGAGAATTTCTTAAAAACCACACTATTGTACCCTCTTTTTTTTTAAATACAAAAATCCATTTACACGTTTAAAATTCATCTGTGTGTTTCTATTTGGTCTTTGCTTCATTCACATGTCACTCACTCAGTTTACAGGCGGGTATAGGAGGGTCCCAGCTGAAGTCTTCTTGGCACTGAATCTGACTGACACCTTCCAAGGTGTAACCGTCATCACATTCAAGGGTGATGTTAGTCCCAGAGCGATAAGTGTTTCCTGGAATAGCTTTCTTAACACCTTGAACTTCTGGGAATACACATCTGATCTCTGCAATTAGAAGTAACAAATAAAGGGAACATAAAATACAAGAAATACAAATGTGGGTTATTTAGGACATTGTTAGTGAATTCTGTCTGAATGTAACCAGGATTTCATTCTCATTCCACAGGGTAACTCCTTTCTTTGTGGGTGCAGAAGTATGTTCACTCCCGCACATGAATGCTTATGCAGATCAGCTACTCCACGCTGATATGGCAGAAAATCCTGTGTAGCAGGGTACCTCGGGAGAAGCGTGTCAGAGAAAGAGGTTTTTCTGATACTGGGCTACCAAAACACTGGGAGAAGAAAGGTTTTGTGGAGAATTCTGTGGGAACTTAAGAACCAACTGCCTATAACCCACTTCTAGTCAGTAGAAGTCCCTTGCCCTTCAAAGATGTCACCAGATACATTATCAATAATTACTTTATTAATTAGTCCAGCCATCTAACCTACTTATACCGATTCCATGAAGTGAGTTGCTTCGATGTAAGCCCCAAAGCACCTTTGACAGCCCAAGCCCAAGAATTCTGGAGGAGATGGTTCTCAGTGGAGACCAAAGGGTTAACATCACCCTGTAACTTTACCCTTTGTTTTATGTCCTTTCTTTAATATTTATTTTTACTAACACACGTAACAGTTTCTAAAGAGAGTTCAAACCCATGAGAATGTGGAGAGACGGGGAATTTTTCTGTGAGTGCTTCCTTTAAAGAGCCTCTGGCTTATTTACGTAAGTTTGTGGTATGTTATTTCCTCTCATTGTTATCCAAGCAGCTCCACCAAGGAAGTGCCCTGTGTGAGTAACGAATTTATTCCAGTGAATGCCCAGGTTTCTGTACAGGAACACCCACCCTAGGAATTTTGTGACACTCATGAAGTTGCCTTTAATCAGGTTTGCCTGATGACTGACCTTCACAGTGAGCTACACAGAAGGCACAGAGAGGCATTTTCCAAGAAGGGAGTAGTCAGGCTCATGGGCAAGCTCCAAACCGACCATCAGAGAACTTCTGTGATAGAACAATCACTTCCTCTGCTTTGATAACTGGGGAGTGAGCAACACAAAAAGGGAAGGAAAGGGAGGGGAAAAGTCTACTCTTCTACTAAAAATAAAAAGCTTTTAGTGGAGGACAGTGGGTACATGACTCATTTGTAGTACCAAGAGCAGAGAGAGAAAAACATGCAAGAATTACAGCTGCCTTTCAGAATTGCCTCTATCATACTCCTGTCCTTCTGTTAGCATGAGGTTCCCATCCTGCTTCTTTACAACATTGTACTCTTCCCAGGGATAACAAAGAGTAGTTAAACTCATAATGAACAGATCAACACTGCCTAGCTATGATATAAAAGTGGTTCCCAAGCAAAATAAGGGGATGGAATTCAGTGTTAGCTGTAGGTTTTTCTGCTCTGATTTTGGCCTGTGTAGCTCTCTGAAGATTTAATGCAAATGATTTAGTGTGAATGCATGTATCTGCATGGCTGCATGTCTCCTCAGGCCAGTTCTGGTTCTGCCACCATAAGCTGATTAAGCACAAGCACACCTTTGCACTGAGGAGGAGGCTGGCTCCAGGTTCCTTTCACCGTGCAGTTGATGAAAGCATTCCCAACGAGTGAATAACCAGGATTGCAGCTGTAGGATACAGACTCTCCATAGGAAAAAGTGTCAGAGATGTTGACTTTGAGCTTCCCATTGGTGATGTTTGGAGGACGGAGACACTTCACAACTGGAAAGTCAGGGGGAGAGAAGCGACGTGTTGACATAAAGACCCTTATGGACTGCCAGAGGATAGCTAAGGCACCGTAACCTTGGCAGCCTTGATCCCATTTACTTTCTTCACCTAGGCTCAACAACTGATTTGGTAACCCTATAACTCCATTAGGCTTTGGAAATGGTTACAAACTCGATCTTGTTCTTATCACCCATTCAGTAGTAAGGGACTCTTATTTAGTCCTTGTACAAATCTTTCCCTAAGGCAAGTCATGTTAAATTTTCCTTCTTCTTAGCTCCCTAGAACAAAAACACACCTTAACAGAGCGGAGGATGATGACCCCAGGCTCCAGACTGTGTGCAATACATGGGTGCTGACCCAATGAGAGGGAAGCCAGCCTCGCAGATGTGGCTTACAGGTGTTCCACGAGTGAATAATGTTCTTGCTGGGCCACTGAGAGACCCATGGGCAATATCTGCAGGCTTGGAGCAGGACTGTGCTAAGAAGAGGCACGTGCAGATCAAAACAGAGCTCGCAGGGGCAAGAGAGGAAACTTTTGAGCATCTGTGATGTGGAGGGACTCTGGTCTTGTTTCAGCAAGTCCTTAGACAAACACCACTCCATGCATTGAGAAGATCCAGTGAAAAGAGCATAAACACACCTTCACACCGAGGAGGGGGATGGCTCCAGACTCCAGATGTTGTACAACGAACAGATTTATTCCCAATGAGGGAGAAGCCCCGTTTGCAGAGATAGCGTACAAGTGCTCCTACATGAAAAGTGTCTAAGAAACGTCCACTGTGCTCCCCGTTGACAATGCTTGGAGGAGGCTGACACTTCACTTCTGAAAGAGGAGAGAATGAGAATGTGATGTTCAATTGTAAAAAAGGTGGTAATGTACTCCTCTCCCCTGCAAAAAAGTGGGACAGGTTGGGAGGAGGAGTTGGTGTTCAGTAAATCTTGCTTTTTCTTGTGATATACCTACCTGGCTTTGTGGTGGTGTGAGGATGACGGTAGTGTTCTGCCACTCCATCTAGATGCAGCATTAAGAGTTTAAAATACACATTTGGTTGAGCAAATACAATGCAGAAATTGACCTTAATTTTCCATCATCCTGCCTTTACAGCAAAAATTGCACTCCTGTCCTATAGTGTCCTGCTGTGAAGCTACCAAATGTCTCACTTTCAGGAAATAAAGAGGTAGGTTATGGATTGCAACAAGCAAGCTGAGAAAAGAGCATATCACGTTTATACTTACAGCATTACCAAACACCTGGCTCATCTCCTGTGTGAGGAGAGAGGCATAAATAAAAGGAGCAATTTCTGGTTTCTCCTTAAAGTAGTTGGGAGGAAACAGGAAAAATAAAGTCAGTGTTGGCTTCAATGAGCGGGTAGGAGCAGTGGGGAGGAATCTGCAGTGCTGGTGGGTCAGGGTGCTGATACTTACCCTGCTCACAGACTGGTACTGGTGGATCCCATGTTTTATCAGCTTGGCACTGGGCTGTGTGATTGCCTCGCAAGGTGAAACCTTTATGGCACTTAAAGCTAACGGTGTCTTTGTACGTGTAGCGATACTTCAGAACAGATACTTCCCCATTCTGGATCTTTGGGGCTGGACATACCACCTCTGAAAAGTAAATGGGTTATCTCAAAGAGGAAGCCATGTGTATGCTGTAACTGATGCATATCTGAAGTCCATCCTTAATGTGCCACTGCTCAGAGGAGTTTTATGGGTAGTACTTGGAGGCTCACAGAACAATCATTTCAAGAACTGAGGGCTTTTTAGTACCTTTAGGTACCCTGGAGTTACCACATTGTCAGAGAATCCCAGACTGGTTTGGGTTGGAAGGGGCCTTGAAGCTCATCCAGTTCCAACTTAGATCCAACTTAGATCTCATCTAAATCTACCCTCTAAATCTACGTTATTGTATATATAAACATAGTTTGGTGCCTATAAATAGAATAATGCAAATAAATATATTAAATGGTGTAGAAATCTGTAAGTACTGTTAGTCATTCTCAAGACTACTTTACTATCCCAAGCTCATGCCTTCTAAAGCAATTCCATCTGAAGGAAAGACTAACTACAGTGATCAATCCTGCAAAACAGCTTTGTGGTTTGGATAACAATGCAGTATTTGGAAGATCACGGTTTAATTTGACTCAATATCCCACTCTTGTACTGCAAGACACATTTCTTCCTGAATGTATTATGTTTCTGAAACAAAAGGGACAAATCCCTGTGGGCATCTCATGGCTTTTCTACCTAAGTCTACATAAACAAGCAAAAAAATCCTAGAGGAATATTCTGCTTTAAAATCTTACTCCTCAAGTCCCTACTTATTTTAAGGAAATGCCACTTTTTAATTTTAAGGGCTTAATTTGGCCCTAATTCTGGGCCAGGTCTAGGGGTGACCTACTTTGACAAATGGGAAGAAGACCACTCCATGCGACATCTGGTCCAAAAACCCCGCATCGCCTGTGAGACTGTCCAACCAGTCGGTGCCTGGAGTTGCAGAGAAGGAAATACCAGTTGATCCCAAATAATCCAGCTCATATTTTGCACTCCCTCTCTGACACTCCCCCCAGAGGTTTCCTTCTGTAGCCTCCTGAATTCTGGCTGGTCATCAAGGTGGTATTTGTTGGTTTGACACATGGATATGAAGGAACCAAGTTCTTTTTTCCTAGATCCAAGAGGAACAGCAATGATCCCAAACTACTCTGGGTTAGGTTGGTCAGGTGCTAAGTCAGGACACAGACCCAAGTGATTGCCAAACCACTGGAGCCTCCTTGCGGCACTCTCAGCTCTTACTGGGTGGCCATCTGAGAAGCAGACTGCAACTGAAGTTTGCAAAGGAAGCTGTTAAGCACAAGCAGGGGAAAACAAGAGACGCTTCTCCCTTTCCTGAGCAGGCGACTGGAACCAAAGTAAATGGCATAACTGGAACCAAAATACAGATTCTGCCTTGCTGTGGGAGAATGGCTGCACAGAGGACTGGGTTCAGACACTTCACTGTAAGTTGCCCAACACCAAGCTCAGAAACAGTCAGCAAAGGCAGTGTAGGACTCACCCTTCTTCACATGTGTAGCTCACGGTTGACCCAAAAAGGAGATCAGTCAGAACAACTCTGCCATTCTTTGGTGTTTCTGGGTATTTACATTGCTTCCCTGAGAAAGAACAAGGCTGAGTTTAAACTCCCCCCTTGCAGTTTTGTAAGGCACTATGAGAAGGTACCTTAAGGATCTGTCCACATTCAGACACCAGTGAAGACATGATTTTGAAAAGGCCAAGACCTGCCCAAACTATGTGACTAGTAAAGCCATGTAGGAACCGTTCTTTAAAGAGCTGCTGTAAGAAACCCGCAAATGCATTGGAGACAGTTGTCAACAACCAACACCAAACATTGAGCTATTCACTTTTACAGAACTCTAGCGCTTCAGACCACGTGTAGTTTTGGAGGCATGTCAGAGTTGGGGATACTCTGGGGTGTTTCATGTATCCCGGGGGGCAGCGGTATCGCACAGTGTCTCCAACAGGGAACTCCGTCAGGTTCCTGTATTCCTCAGTGAGCTCAGCAAAGGTTAAGTTTGGAGGTGGGCCACAGCCACCTGTCAGGAAAGAAAACACAGGGAGAAATCGGGATAGCAACTACATAAATGGTATGAATGGTATGTACAGTGAGTATATACATCTATAGATAAATGTTTACAGGCCAAACAAAGGGGAAGGACTGATGAATTCAAGGGAAAGGACGAATCCTACAGGCTTTCAATGGTGGAAATTCCCAGACTATCCATAACTCCCATCTTGGGGTGTACCTGCACACTGAGGAAGAGGAAGGCTCCAGTTTCCTGAGTCAGTGCAGTGAATCGATGCCTCTCCCAGGAGGCTGTAGCCAGGGTCACAGCTGTAATTTACAACCATCCCAGCAGTGAAAACTTCCAAGTCCTGGCTGCTGTGATTTCCATTGTCAATATTTGGAGGTGAAGGACATTGCAGCACTGAAGAAAGAGGGCAAAACAAAATTGACAAAGGGGATGGACACGGTGACAGGCAGGAGGGATGCAAACAAAGTTAAAGAGAGCCCAGCTCCTGCATGTGCTGGAAGCACACTTAAACCTGAGGGTGTTGCTGGATGTGCAGTTCTAACCCTTCCCATGCCAGCTCTGTAGGTTGATGGGTTTGCCAGCTCCGGGATCAGCCAGGCATGGGATGGATGCTCAGCAGGGCAGGACATGGATGCTCAGCTGGGCACAGGGTGGGTACTCAGCTGGGCTGGGGATGAATGCTCAGCAGCGCAGGGGATGGATCCTGAGCCAGCCCTGAATGCACAGGATGCCGCAGCAGCAGCCAGCCCTACCTGCGCAGCGTGGGTAGGGGAGGCTCCAGTTCCCTGAGGCTGTGCACAAGACAGAGGGGTCTCCAAGGAGGGAGAAGCCGGGCTGGCAGCTGTAGCTCACGGACATGCCAGTGGTGAAGTTTGCCTCGAGCTCTGCACTGTGCGTGGCGTGGGCAATGGTGGGAGGTGGAGGACAAGGCAGCACTAACAGGGCAGGAGCAGAGAACAGCGTTTTAGTGCTTTTGCCACGTGGAGAAGCACAGGTAATACAACAAAAGACTGTCACACCTTATGTTTTGTGGGTGAGGCAGAGAGCAATGCCTCATCCAGCACAATGGCCCTAAGCATCCTTCTTCTAAACCCCCACGTGGTGGTACTCACCTGGCTTGCAGGTAGGCACAGCAGGCACCCAGCGGCCATCGGGCTGGCACTTGGCTGCACGGCTGCCCCACAGCACATAGCCCGGGTGACACTGGAAGGTGACGTTGGCCCCAGGGTGGTAGGCAGCGCTCTGTCCTTCAGCCACTTCTCCATCCTGGATGCTGGGGCTTGTGCAGGTGATCACTGGAAGCGCAAAGCAGCAGAGCATGGGCTGGGGAAGGGGCTGCCGGCACTGGGGGTTCCTTCTTTGCTTGTGCAATGTCAAAATTCGAGGAAGGCCATGCAACCATGATGGTCTGTTTCCCTTTTCACTGGGGGTAACAGGATTTACAGCTCACCTTCACACCGTGGGTAAGGGATGCTCCAGGTTCCAGACGTCAAACAAGAAACTCTTGTTTTCCCAGTGAGGACGTACCCCATGTCACAGTAGTATTTCACAGATACTCCTGGGACAAACACCTTCACGTCCTTGCTGTCATGATGGCCATTTTTGATATTTGGAGGGGAAGGACACGGTAGCACTATAGGGAGGGGGAAAAAGAGCTGGTACCACAAGCACCCGCTGTAGGGTAAGGCAGCCTTTTAGCTTCTTTCTTTCCCATTAACTTTTCCCAACTAGATTGGTCTGTCACTGAATTGTGTTTCCATCCTACCCTCCCTAACCTTCCACCCTTCAGGTTTTTCAGGCTTATTCATGTCAAGAATGATAATTTCTCACTATTTGGGCACTTAGAATGGTTAGTTGCCATCTGTGGCCCTAACAGCTTGCTCTGGCCTTTCTGTGGTTGTGACCTGGATCAGACATCAGCCTGGCTAACCCTCTTTGTGGATTCACTTAAATAGATGAAAGCCCTACATAACAAGGGCCTGAATCATAGAACCAATTAGGTGGGAAAAGACCTTTAAGATAATCAATTCCAACCATTAACCTGGCACTGACAAGTCCACCACTAAACCATGTTCTTAAGTGCCATATCTATATGTCTTTTCAGTTCCCATCACCTCATTTATACTTACTCTTTTCACAGGTGGGGACAGGAGGGTCCCACTTGCCCCCAAACTGGCACTGAGACTCTTGAGAGCCCTTCAAGGCATAACCAAAATCACATTCGAAGACAACGGTATCCATGAGTTTGTACATGGTCTCCAGCCCAGTTGATCTTCCGTTCTTGATCTCCGGTCTTTCACAGCCGGTTGCTGGAAATGAGCAGCACAAGGCACTGCTGGGGACATGAAGCTCATCCTGGGTGTGGAGGGACACTGACCAGGGGCAGTACCTGCTGCTGAACCTTGCCATCACTGTCATGGGCATGCCAACATTACTGACTCTTATTCTTACACAAAATACCTTTATTCAGATGCTCCTGAGGGTCTGTCCTTACTAAGGGACAGAAAGGGAAATCCAAGCCGCTTCCAACCTGGCCTTGAGCACTGCCAGGGATGGGGCAGCCACAGCTTCTCTGGGCACCCTGTGCCAGCGCCTCAGCACCCTCACAGGGAAGAGCTTCTGCCTAAGATCTGACAAAAGAAGCCAACACTAACACACCTTCACATCGAGGCAGGGGCCGGCTCCACTTTCCCCTGGCAGTACAGCTAATGGAGGCATTCCCAATGAGGGAGTAGCCATCCCTGCAGGTGTAGTTCACAGCTGAGCCTGGAAGGTGGGTGTCCGAGGGCTGGCTGCTGTGCTGCCCGTTGGCAATGCTTGGAGGGGAAGGACACTTCACCTCTGCAAAAGAGGCAAAGCAGGTAAGAAACGTGGACAGGGCACAAAAAATTAAGAAGCCAACCTTCAAACCCAAAAGGAGGAGGACAGTGGATGCCATTAATTCCTTTGAATATCTGCCATGTTAGCTCACACGCCGGTGGGGTCAGACCCCGCACACCCAGAGCCCTACCTCCACATCGTGGCGGTGGCCCGCTCCACACGCCGTGCTCCCCGTCTGCAGTGGTGCAGATGATGGAGGGCTCTCCAGCCAGCGGGTGGCCGGGGTCACAGGTGTAGGCGACCACATCTGCATAGGAGAAGGTGTCCCTGGAGTGCCCGCTGTGTGTCCCATGGGAGATGTTCGGAGGTGGGCCGCAAGCGATACCTGGAGGCACATAACAAGGTGGATTTCAACAGCTCATTTGCAGGACACACACACTTCCCAGGAAGGGAACGGATGGGGATGAACCCATGTCAGCGGTGATGCTCTCTGGATACAATGACCCAAATTATCCAGAGGCAAACCCTGCATGGAGAAAAAAAATCACACGTGGAAAAGAAAACCTTTGCCCTCACGTAAGTCACCCCCTTACTGCCTGTGTCTGGAGGTGGTGGGACAGTTCTTACCTCCCTTTCCATATCCACTGGGGACACTTGCAGAGAGAGACTGGCCACACCATTCCTACACATGACCACTAAGAAATACTTATCCAGTAACAGGGAGTTTAATTAACAGTTTTACCAGTTTGGACCAGGATAAATAGGAAACTTTTGAAAGTATTTTCAGAGGCAACCAGAACAAAACAAAAAGAAAAATGAAAGATTTTACACATGCAGTGAGTGGAGAAATATTTTGCAATGAAATCTTTCTCTTGAAAGATGTGCCACTTGCAAAGCATCTCCAAGGACCTTTTGTCGTGGCCTACTTACGCTGGCAGACAGGAGCATCTCCACTCCATGAGACACGTGTGCCGGAGACCTCGCAGGTTCTCTGAGAGCCTCCAACCAACTTGTACCTGGAGTCACACAGAAGGGTCTATTAATTTACATTAAGAGATGTGAACTTTCTTTACAACCCTTATAAGTGGCAGCCAAGACTTCTGACTTGGGAATGAGGTTCCTCCATGAGGAGCTGAAAATCTGCTTCACTCTCACTTGGCAGATGGATTCCACCAGTCTCAAGACTCACCCTTTGTTACAAGTGTAATTGACTTTGGATCCCAAGAGGAGGTCTGTCAGGACAATGGCTCGGCCATTCTCTGGATCCCTTGGGTTAGCACATTGTTTTCCTAGGAGGGAATGCCAGCCACCATTAGTCATAGAATCCCAGACTGATTTGTTTTGAAAGGGACCCTAAAGCTCATCCAGTTCCAACCTCCTGCCATGGACAGGGACACCTTCCACTAGAGCAGGCTGCTCCAAGCCCCTGTGTCCAGCCTGGCCTTGAGCACTGCCAGGGATGGGGGAGCCACAGCTTCTCTGGGCACCCTGTGCCAGCGCCTCAGCACTCCCATAGTAAAGAATTAGAAATGTGTCCTGCAGTACAAGAGTGGGATATTGGATCAAATTAAACTGTTATCCCAACCACAAAGCTGTTTTGCAGGATTGATCGCTAATAGCCTTTCCTTCAGATGGAATTGCTTTAGAAGGCATGAGCTTGGGATAGTAAAGTAGTCATGAGAATGACTAACACAGAGAGCGGGCTGCATAAAGAAACCTGGAAAGCTAGGAAAAGATGAAAATCCAACACTTCAGGTTTTTCAACCCTTCCAGGACATACTTTTACAGAACTCCAGTGCCACAGACCACTTCCTGTTCTCAAGGCATGTGATGGCTGGTGACATCCCGATGTGCTGGGTGTACCCAGGCCGGCACACGTATTCCACCGTCCTCCCCACAGGAAAGAGGGTCTGGTTTCTGTACAGCTCCTTCAGCTCAGCAAATGCCAGCCTGGCTGGTGCATTGCAGCCAGCTACCAAGAAGGATAAGCCAGCTTATTGTTAGAGGAGTTAAGAAAAAGCAGAGCTGGGAGAAGTGGGGGTCAGGTTAATGTTCATAGCACTGTTGGAACACTTGCCCTGCTCGCAGACTGGCATGGGTGGCTCCCAGGTGCTATTTAGTTGGCATTGTACCACTTTGTGGCCACATATAACATAGCCTGGCTCACACTCAAAGGCAGAAGTGTCCTTGTGTGTGTGTAGACAGTCCTAGGAGACACTATTCTCCCATTATGGACCCATGGGACAGGACATCTTGCCTCTAGTCTTCAAATTGGGCATTTATGCAGTGTGTGGCTGCAAAGCCTCTGAGGGTTACAATCCCTTTTAAGACACAAGTCTGAAAACAATTTCCCCATAGATGATGTAGGTACTGCCCACATCGAGTGATGCTGAACGCTGAGGTGTGACCCCAGCCGAATTGTGATGCTGGAGGCAGCGGGGTGCTCCTTCAGCCTCCCCTCCTCTGCCTGGCCTCAGCTGCAAAACAGCCCTTGAAGCTCCCGCCCTGGCAGGCACATATTGCCGTTGTCTGGGGGTGCCCTTGTCTTTCTGAGTATGAAGCAGTAGGGACAGAAGGATTCAGCCCAAGTACCCGCACGTGCACACTCAACCCTACCTCCGCACGACGGCGGGGGCCCGCTCCACACACCGTTCTTCTCATCCAGGGTAGTGCAGTAGATGGAGGGCTCTCCATGGAGCGGATATCCAGGGTTGCACGTGTATGTTACAGAAGTGCCAAAGAGGAATTCATCCAGCAACTTGCCTGTGTGCTTCCCATTGGGAATGTCTGGAGGCGGCTCACAAGGGATACCTGCAGAGGGGCAGAACAAGGCTGCCAAATTCAAAGTACTTGAAATCCCTCAGTCTGTGGGGCATAAACACTTGGCCTAGAGATGGAGTAACTGCAATAAAGTGATCTTCCAGGGGAGGCCTTGTAGGCAACTGGATTCCATCTCCCTGGACAGCAATTTCTATGACAGAAAGCAGTCCAACAAGATTAACCTCTCTGGAGGAAACACCTACATGCTTTATTTTTCGTACTGTTTAAGAAATAAAAGAAAACCAAATACTTTCTGTTCCTCTCTTGTACTGCTGAAAACGCTCCAGCTTTCTACAATCCATTCAGCTTTGAGATCTTGTACCTGTTCCCAGAACATTTTCTTACAACATCAAAACAACATTCATGCCCACAGAGCATAGAAAATCCCCGTGAAAGCTTTGACTGGGAAGATTTGTCAGTCTCTGCTGGAGAATATGAACTGAATCCATGCAAACCCCTGGAACTGAAAGCTACTTACGCTGACAAACGGGAACATCACCGCTCCATGCAACACGTCCACCAGAAATCTCACACCGCCTGCTGGCTTGTCCAATTAACCTGTGCCTGGTGTTCAAAGGATTAAACATTCATCCCAAGCCATTGCAGTTTGAGTTACTCCCTCCTCGCAATCACCTTGTCCAAAGCCCCTCTCCAACCTTGTCAGCCCCCTTTAGGCATTGGCAGACAGTTATAAGGTCTCCCTGGAGCCTTCTCCAGGCTGAACAAGCCCAGCTCTCCCAGCCTGTCTTCATGTATACATAAGACAGTGAACACCTTATGTGGTTTATAGGTACAGGACTCGACACAGCAGCTTCTGACAGAATCCATTTATTGGGAGTGAATGAAGAGGAGGAAAAGAGGGAGACTTGCCTCGTACCTCTCTCCTTGCTGTTTTAAGCAGTAGCCAAAACCAGGACTTACCCCTTTTCACAGCTGTAGCGCACTGTTGACCCGAACAGGAGATCTCTCAGGAAACTGATTTTCCCATTCACAGGTTCACCAGGATGGGTGCATTTTTTCCCTGGGGAAGAAAAAACCCATTGTAGGCTTCTGTCTGTCTATACCACGGAGCAGCAGATGCAACTCTTACTCCAGTAACCCATTCACATTTAGTTACCCCCAAAACGGGTTTCAAATAGCATGAAGTTACATGGCTTTACTAGTCACATACTCTTGGAAGACCAGAACAACAGGAAGGTTTATGCAGCATGGACAGAACCTAGCACCTATTCCTTCTTGAACAACGGACACCAAATCAAGGAGCTATTCACTTTTACAGAACTCTAGTGCTTCTGACCACACTCCGGTCTCAAGGCATGTAATAGTAGGTGACATTCCTGGGTGTTTTGCATATCCAGGGTGGCAAGTGTATTGCACAGTCTTCCCCACAGAAAAATCAATTTCATTTTTATGCTCCTCCTTTAGCTCAGCAAAGTGTAACCTTGTAGGAGGCCCACAACCACCTATTGAGAAAGAAAACAGACATGAGAATCAGGCAGGACAAGCACAGAAAGAACACTGTTCTGAGGAAGGCTCTTTCGTTTGCCTTGCAGAATGGATTCTTTGGATTAATATAGCCATTACTAAGCAAACACAACATAGTTTCCCAGAGGATTCCGGAGGATCAGATTCTTCTTACCAGGATATAGATAAATCTTCCACTCACAGGTTTAACAACCCTTTTTTGAGAGGTTTAGGGGATATAAAATAGCCGTGTACCCTGAGGCAGCTGTGTCACGATTTACCTGAAAGTCCAGGCCTCTTTGAGAGCCCTTGGTCATGGTAAAGTCTACCACAGATGGGAACAGGAGGGTGCCAGCTGCCATCCTCCTGGCAGATGACTTTAGCACTGCCTTGCAGGCTGTAACCATCGTGACACTGAAATGTCACCGCTTGCCCGGGTGCGGAGAGAAGCCCTTGACCATCCACTTGCCTCCCGTTCCGTATATAGGGATGTACACAGACAGCAGCTGGAAGCGGTGATGTGCAGAAGTGAAGTGCAACACGAGTTGGAACAAAAGAAAGAAAGAACCCGCAGGCTGTCAATATTGTAATGACAAAATCGATGTCACCTCTATAAACCTCCCCGTCCCACCTCCGCAATAGAAGGGATGGAAATTAGTTTATACCATGCACCACTGTCTATGGGATTAACCTTCTCTGAGAAACTGGTTTCAATGGTCAGGGTCTGCTGTCCCCCCCATCTGAGGAGACAGACCATAAACCCACCTTCACAGCGAGGGCCGGGCTGGCTCCAGTTCCCTGATGCTTTGCAGAACACAATGGCGTTTCCAACCAGGTAGTAGCCAGGATCGCACGTGTATGTTACAGACATTCCCATGGTAAAAAATGATTTGTCTTGGCCGTTGTGACTTCCGTTGGGGGTCTCTGGAGGCATGGGGCACGGCTGGACTGCAACAGGGAGACAGAAAGCCTTAACTCAGTGAGAGAGCAGCGTGCAAGGGAAGGGAGTCACTACGAAGATGGGTTAAAGCCCATAGCAGGAACGGCTCTGCCTGCACACGCTGCTCCTGCCTGCAAGGAGCATCTACAGGCAGGGCCACCAGCAGGCACCCACACTCACCCCTCTCACAGCGGAGCACTGGAGGATCCCAGGTGCCCCCAGGCTGGCACCGAGCCTCGTAGCTGTCCTCTGCAGCGTAACCAGCAATGCAGTCAAAATGCAGCGACTCCCCAGCTCTGTAGGTGCTCTGCAGCTCATAGACCTTCCCGTTCTGCACCTCGGGCATCTCACAGCCGATTGCTGTGGGGAACACGGACAGCAACCTTCAAACCTCAATGCATGGGCCAGATGCTGCATGCACAGCCCGCTCCCTTCTCATCACTGCTGCAAGCCTGCACTGTTCCTACAACCAGAACATCCAGCATCCTTTCCTCCAGCCCCACACCTTGCAGTGCATCCTCCACGCACCTTCACAGCGGGGCAGGGGCCAGCTCCACATCCCAGCCTCTGTGCAGTTGATGGACACATTCCCAACTGGAGCGTAGCCATCCTGGCAGCTGTAGTGCACGGTCACTCCGCGGGGAAACCTGTCCAAGGACTGTCCACTGTGCAGCCCGTTGGCGATGTTCGGTGGCCGAGGACACGTCACCTCTGGAGAGGGAGGGGAAAGCCCATGAGAGTTGTCTGGGAGAGGTGACAGCAGAGAAAGAGCACAACTGAAACCTCCTGCACATCAGGCATGGGGAAGGGCAGAGGGCTCACACCCCAGGTCTGTCTGACAGACCAGTTGTGGGTGCCCTGTCTCTCCTCTGGCTTTTCTGGAGAGCGAGTGTTGAATGGGTTCATAAACATCCATCTTGTCTCCCCCAAAGGCTGTGTCACTTCCCATGCCCGTGCGTGGTCCCCAGCATCATTACTGGCTCTGCCTGGGTGTGCTGCAGCCAGAGCACCGGGAGGAGGGTGCTGGCCTAGAGACCCTTTTGTACTTGGTCTCACATTAAGGGATGTGCCAGTTCTTGAAGATTCACTGAGGATTCCCCACCAGCCACCTCCAGCATGAGAGGCGCAGCACACGCAGCCACAGAGATACCGAGCTCGGGATTCACGGATGTAAGCGTGCTCTTTACATATAATTAAACCTCATACTTCATTAAAGGGGAATTTAATCCCCACTGAAGGTCTCAGGGGCAATGGCCAGGGTGTACCCTGTGCTCAGAGCCACTCTCTAAGCTTCTTGCCGAGGGGGACAGATCACAAACCCACCTTCACAGCGAGGGCCGGGCTGGCTCCAGTTCCCTGATGCTTTGCAGAACACAATGGCGTTTCCAACCAGGTAGTAGCCAGGATCACACGTGTATGTTACAGACATTCCCATGGTAAAAAATGATTTGTCTTGGCCATTGTGATTTCCATGTGGGATCTCTGGAGGCATGGGGCACGGCTGGACTGCAACAGGGAGACAGAAAGCCTTAACTCAGTGAGAGAGCAGTGTGCAAGGGAAGGGAGTCACTACGGAGATGGGTTAAAGCCCATAGCAGGAACGGCTCTGCCTGCACACGCTGCTCCTGCCTGCAAGGAGCATCTACAGGCAGGGCCACCAGCAGGCACCCACACTCACCCCTCTCACAGCGGAGCACTGGAGGATCCCAGGTGCCCCCAGGCTGGCACCGAGCCTCGTAGCTGTCCTCTGCAGCGTAACCAGCAATGCAGTCAAAATGCAGCGACTCCCCAGCTCTGTAGGTGCTCTGCAGCTCATAGACCTTCCCGTTCTGCACCTCGGGCATCTCACAGCCGATTGCTGTGGGGAACACGGACAGCAACCTTCAAACCTCAATGCATGGGCCAGATGCTGCATGCACAGCCCGCTCCCTTCTCATCACTGCTGCAAGCCTGCACTGTTCCTACAACCAGAACATCCAGCATCCTTTCCTCCAGCCCCACACCTTGCAGTGAATCCTCCACGCACCTTCACAGCGGGGCAGGGGCCAGCTCCACATCCCAGCCTCTGTGCAGTTGATGGACACATTCCCAACTGGAGCGTAGCCATCCTGGCAGCTGTAGTGCACGGTCACTCCGCGGGGAAACCTGTCCAAGGACTGTCCACTGTGCAGCCCGTTGGCGATGTTCGGTGGCCGAGGACACGTCACCTCTGGAGAGGGAAAAGAAATTGCCGTATGGGTCAGCTCTTTGCCTTTTTGTGTGCTACTAAGAATGTTCGGGTAATATCTGGAATTCTTCTTTGCCATCCCCATGTCCCTCCCCATCTCCTTTGCTCCGAGCTGTTTCTGCCCCTCCAGAGCCAACCTGCAGCACTTTGGTTTGAGCAGACAAGTGAGGAGAACAGATACATCCTGGCTTTGCTTTCCCACCGCATTTGAGAGGACACAAGAGGGAACCTTCCCCACGGCTCCGCCGCATTGGGACACTTACCCTTTCTGCACAGCGGCAGAGGCGGGCTCCATCTGGAGTCAGCTTGGCACACGCTGCTGCGCGAGCCGTGCAGGGTGTAGCCGGTGTTGCACGTGAAGCTCACGGCGTCCCCTGTCCTGTAGAAATACCAGGTAATGGGTATTCTCCTCCCATGCTGGATGTGTGGGAACGGGCACTGGGCACCTGGAAAAGGGAGAGAAATCAAATGTCTTTTACCTGCACAGCCCTTAAGCTGTTCCTGCTGTGCTGGTTGCTGTGTTGATGGTGTCCATGCAGCTTGGTGATCCCTGAGCAATGGGATGTGGTGGAGGCTGCTGCTGGGGCTGCAGGACCCCTCCATGCCCTGCTAGAGAACCCCAATGCTTCCTCTGTTCACAAAAGCCAGATGTCCAACATTTCACATCAATCACCTGGTGAGGCCAAGAGCCTTTCATGGCCTTTCTGCGTGCTTCTAGCTCATGAGCTGGGAAGCACATCCCCTGGGTCTGATCTGACTGGAAAACATTGGCAGGACTACCCAGGAGCAACCTAACTGCAGTGAAGGGCTCTGTGCATGCAAGAGGCAGCAGGGATGCACAGCGCACCACTGTGATGATGCAGGGATGGACCCAACCAGTGAGAGCAAAGCCTCAGAGGTACAGACCTGCCGGTCCCCCTTACCTTGAGCCCCAAGTGCGGTGGCCAGGAGCAGAGCAGAGATGCCCAGGAGGTGGAAAGCGAAGGCAAGCACCATACTCCAGTCCCTGGCGCAGACTGCGGCTCTCAGGGGGCCGCAGGAAGATATGAGCACCCCAGTTCCCTCCTCATGCGGAAGGAGCCACAGCTGTGGGGCTTCCCAGGGATGCAGGACAGGAACCAGTGGGCTTCTGGGCGTCACCGCTGGGGAGGCTGCAGGTCCCACAAGCTGCTTATGCTGCTGTTTAGGGCCAGGGAGGATGGGCCCCTAGGACACCCAGGCACCTGTGACAGAGGGTGGGTGCAGCACAGAGGTGCTGATAGCTGCACTGTGCCTGCAGCAGGGAGCATCCTCGGGTAGGGGAAGTGGGGCAGAGCCTGGGTCGTGTCCCCAGGTGGTGACTGCAGCTGAATGGGCACAGCTTGTCTGCCCCAGGATGGGAAAGACAGAGCAGGACATTCCCACCTGCTGCCTGCATGGAACTGGGTCCCACACTCACACACCACCCTGCAGGCATGGACCCAGATCCTCCTGGCCTGACCTGGCTGCTCTGGGACTCATCCTAGTCTCATCAGCATCATCCCATGCTGCTGGATGGAAGAATAAAAACCTATAGACAGGACTTTCTGACATAGAATCTGTCACAGCAACCTCCTCTCCCCACCTGGTACCGCAGAGGATGCTCTCTAAGCCTAATGAAGCAGCAAGACACACATTACTCCAGTCTTTTTATCCCTTTTATTGACAGGGAGCTTCCTATATTTACATAGCCAACATTTATACGCAGATTCTAAAGTAAAATTATGTACAACTCAATTATAAACACAGTAGATAAGCTCTCTTCATCAGTAAATGTTGGTGATGAGACCCGTAAGCTATGTCACAGCATTCACAGTTCCTTCCATGTGGTTACAGGGAGATCATTTCAAGCTGATCCCCAAATCAGGTATTAAATCATTTGGAAAAACCACTTGGGACTATATGCAGGAGGAACAATTGTGTTGGGATTAGAATACCAAAACAGAACCACACGCTAAGCTATGAAGCTTTACATTGTGTTTTGTTCACCTCATCACTCACACAGCTTATGGGAAGAGACAGATAAAAATAAGCAGGAATCTGCTTGTTCTGCAAGACTGGCTTCTGAAAACAGGATCTCAGCGAGAGCTGACCAGGACAGTGCTCTGCTGGGAAGGGAGAACTCTGTGGGGCCATTTAGAACAAGACAAATGTGTTGCTGGAAACAGACACTTGAGTTTTTTCCCCCCTCTCATTTGATGTTAACAAATTAACAGGAAATCAAGGGTGAAAATGCAGAAGCAAAAAAAGATGCAGTAGACACATTTCAAACACTTCCTGCTCCCAACCACGCATCACGAGAAGCTCAGACGGGTTATTCACCTTCTGCATCAGACAAAACCCCAAACCTCAGTCTTGCTTTACCAGCAGCTGAAAGTCCTGGCATCTCCAGCTGGATTTGTTTAACAGGTTTAAACTGATCACGGTTTTGTTTCCCTAATAAGCAGCATTCCCAGGACACCTTCAAACCTTTATTTCAGTTTACATGATGCTACATACCTCTTTAGCTTACTAAGAGATCACTTAGCAGGGCCAAGTTAAAACCAGGCAAGGACACCAGCACCACACAGTAGGCTTTCACCAATCAAATAAATCAAGGGCACTTTTGCACATCTTTGGTTTAGGCAAGGCGAGTTGGGCCCCGTTATCCAAGCTGTCCTCACGGCACTGCCAAAGCCTGGCTCAAGTTAGGGATGGGACAGCTTCCACACTCGCCTCCATCCACCTTTGCAAACCATCCTGAACACAACGATCAACTAAGGTCAGGTAAAACAGGATGAAAACAAAGCACACAAAAGACATGGGGTTTGTGTCCCACTGGAGTAAATTAAGGCTTTGGCTTGATGTGCCTCTGTGCCTACCTGGGGTACTGCATCATAGCAGTCCCGAGGCACCCTGGGGCTCAGCCAGCATTGTCGGGGTGCACAGCACCACCTGAAAAAGCCTTTTCAGTGCAAACTCGGCATTGATTCAGTGCAAACTCAGCAGCATCCCCCCATCAGCCGCCCCAGGCAGGTGATTTGTGAGGAGAAGTGAACAGATTCACATGCAGCAGTTTCCTGGTGCTGGGTGGCATCTGCCAAGACATCTGCAAGTTCCACATTCAGCAGATACCTCAAGCCCATGGATGAGCTCTACTGCCCCTGAGCATCCCCTCTCTGTGTCCTTCATGGGGCTTGCAGCCCACTTAAAGCTTCAGGAAAGCATGAAGCCAGTGCAGAGACAGGGTGTTTGTGCGAGGTACTTGCAGAAGAGCCTCAACATGATACGAAGATAGTGCCAGGGCAGAGCTATTCAGCTGTAGTTTAAAGTTAACTCGAGCAAACAGTGAGAACAGTAGCTCTTTGTAATACGGCATTTAAATTGTTTTCTCTCTAGTTAAGTTACTGATCCGTAAGAATTGCTATTTCACAACGGTTCAGACTCACCTTGAACCGCTGCCTATGTATGAACATTTTCAATGCCTTCAGTACTCACAGACTGAAGCATCCTCTTTGTATCAAACCATTTTTTAAGGATGCATCACTCAAGTGAAGACATTCACTGTTAATCCTCACAGCAGCACTCTCCACCTCAGAAAACCCCAAATCCTGAGCAGGACCAGGCACAAAGTGACCTTCACGGGGCTGAGAAACTGAACATGAAGTGAAGGGTTTTCTTGAGCCTACTCTACTGCAGCGTGAAGGTCTTAGGCATCACTGCAGCTTCACACAGGGATAATGCACTTGATTCCTGACCAGCATTCCCAGCCTCCCAGCCCGGCACACAAGTTGCTTTGTCCTTCAAGGTCTGTTGGCTGCTTCTTTGAGACCAGTTTCACAGGAGGGACAAGGGGAGCACTGGGATCGGCGTGATCAGGTCCAACACAGCTTTAGGTGCCTCCTGCTGTGCCCGTTCCCTAATCTAGATGTCCATAATGAGCATTGCCAGCAGGAGGGGGAAGATTCCTACAAGAGACAGATAAGAAGCTTCAGTTTCATTATACATTCAGCTCTCTTTTCCCTCTGTACCCTTTTGCCTCCCCTTCCCGTTTTCACAGCATGATCTTAAAGCAACAACATACATATGACAACAGACAAAGAGAAGGCTTTTAAGTCTATTCCAAACAGAACACCCAGGAGACAACAACAAAAGATGGGCAGGAGCACAGTACAGGGGTGCAGGAATGGGTATGACTTACCAGCAATGATCATGCTCGCTCCACCTGGAAGGGAAGCAAACCAAAACGTGAAACTCAGCATGCAGTCAGCACAGTAACACATCAAACTACCCAGGAGGCTCAAATCCGAACCAATGCACGTGGAAGACAATTCAAGCAACACGTGGAATGGGACCCCGAACACCTCCATGGATGTTCACCTGTTAAACCCCAGATGTATTTACTAGGATACATTTCCAACATGTGAGTCTGTGCCACAATCTGTGTTCTTTTGGCAGTAGATTTTAACTGAAGCTGTTTCAGGAAGAACCAAAGACTTACTACTTGGTAGAATTATGTGATTTGAGGATTCAGAGAGGAAGGAGAAAAATAGAAGACAAAGAGGCAACAAGACAGACATAGAGATTGTCACCTCTGCATTGAGGAGCCGGCTTGTTCCAGTCTCCCCAGGATTTATCTCCTGCAATGCACTGAAGAAAGGCTGCTCCAGCAAGGGTGAAGCCCTCCTTGCATTTATAAGCTACAACGGTGCCATGAGAAAAGTCCATTCCCTTTGTGCCATTGTGCATCCCATTCTCAATCCTGGGGGGCTCTTCACAGAGAGCACTGGGGAGCAGTCCTGCAGGAGGAACATCAGCAGGAGTTGGGCTTGTTCAGCCTGGAGAAGAGCAGACGGCTGCCCCATCCCTGGCAGTGCTCAAGGCCAGGCTGGACAGGGCTTGGAGCAAGCTGCTCTAGTGGAACGTGTCCCTGTCCATGGCAGGAGGTTGGAACTGGATGAGCTTTAGGGTCC